AGAAGAACACATGTTTTACTTTAACAGTAAAAAATGGCTCCTTAATGATGTTGGTGCTCAATTTGCAAAAATAAGCCTGGAAGATCTTAATACGCAGTTTTTTGTATGCAGCGTTTTACTGCTGGCAATACGCAACAACCTTATTTGCTACTTTTTAGGGTGCATTGCCAATGCTGCGCTTTACTGCAGCCACAATTAGTCACGCAGGAACATGCTCTTAATAGTGGCACTATATCAGCAATGTCTTGCTGATTCTACTGAGCTTTGGACTTGACCGTTCGTGAAAAAGGGTCTTTAACTTTTACAAGATTTTGATGCAACGATGCTCTTCGGGTATACATTGGCAGTAGGTATTTACATTCAAAATGAAAAAGGAATTTTTATTGCAAAGCATTTAGAAAGGGCAACTGGTATTAAAGCTTCTTTGTTGGCATACTTTAGACGTTCTCTGTCTAGCGTTCTTAACAGGCATGCAAAGCTTAAACTGTGAAAATGAAAATGGAGATCAAGTTAATAGAAAGTTGAATAAATTTTTCATAGAAATTTTCTGATGCATTAAGTAGCTGAAGCAGATCGATAATTTTTTAAACAAAGCATTTTGAATCAGCATGCTATGTCAGTCGGAGGTCAAAATCATCAGACTGGAGTTGCAAAGTTGGCAAAGCTTTGACGCATGACTCGTATCTTGCGGCCTAGTCAGCAGGTGTATAAGATTTTGATTAATCCTTTTCGTAATCTGTTTTTAATTTTGGTTGACGTGCTCAACTTCCAAATTTTGTTTCATATAATAAACCATGAAAATGGAATAACAAGGACGAAGCGTGTTTTTGTAAACAGCATGAATTTTAGTCGCTTGTACGGGCCTTTGTAATCATAGCTCCATTTTTTTTGGTTATGCGTTTCAATCTTTCTTTCGTAAAATTTCCTGCAGGGCATTCATATTTCACTGAACAGACACATGATATCTTTAAATAGCCTTAGTTTACTTTCTCTTATTGCTTAGCACAATAAAATGAAAGTCCATCAGCAATATGCTGCATTACACTAACAATCAAAACAGAAAGATCCCAATGAAAAAAATGAAAAGTCAATTGTAAATATTTGAATGATAACTAATATCGTTTTGTAATACTTTTCTCTAATTAATTCGTCTTTGTTCAATGTAATTAATGGACAAAACAGAAAACCTTTTTAGAGTTAGCCTGAAATTCAAAAATACATATATATTGCTAGCTTCAAAATGGTAGCTTTTAACAGTCATTTTTTGATCGAACAAACGGCCTAAATCAGGCAAGAATACAGTGCAGTGGTTAATTTATTTTATTAACGTTTGAATACAAAAACTTAATGTTTGCACATGTCTAGAAATGTAATGGAGTTCCAGAATCATGCAGAATAGATTTAAAGATACATAAACATTAATGAGCTTGAAATAAACAATATTTCTTCATTGCACGAGTAAGTGAAAACTATTTTCTCCGACTGTACCTAGATGCAAATTTTCCTTTTTTTCCACAAATCCACGATGGATATGGAATCCAACAATCTATGTAAAAGGTTCCGTGTATTGAACTTTTTTCTCACAAAATAGATATATTTCCATCCTACATTAGAGGTTTGGGCTTTATTATCACTGGTGAAGAACCTTTTGTGCGACATTTAGCAGTCTTAGGACACATCTCTCTTACAGGCTTCAAGTTTTTTCTGCGATGCAATTACTGGCAGTGCACCTTCTTGCCGCGCGTCAAAATAAGATCCGCGTGAAGAACGATACGGTAAGATTGAGGCTTTCAAAATGATACACATTCACGTGCTGCTGCGGTCTTAGAGAATTTCGCGGAAATCATTTTCAAAGAAGCAAAGATCAAACAGTAATCGCAAATAGACAGAATGCACCTGCGGCTTGTCGCAAAAGTCTTCTCTAATTGATGTAGAGCGAACCGCTTTCGACTTGTTAAGTCGAAACAAAGGAGCGGGAGACCACAGCCTCGCCTTCAGCGGTATTAAAGAGATTAGGTAAAAATGAATGAATCTTGAACTGTTAGGAGTTTTATGGGTTTATGGCATTTTTAAACATACGCTGCAAAATCTATTTGTAAGACGTGGAATTACCAAGTTTTGTACGTGGTATCCCCGCGGTTTAGTATTGGTTTCTTAGAAGTGTTTCATGATCTTCCCAGCGTTACTGATCTGGTTTAATGTATCTTCGACACATAACAAAAGAATGGAAATCGAGCTCTTCCATGCAAGCTACTGTTGCAATTAAATGTGCTAATTCACAGTTTTTCAAGATATTTCCCGTGTGCTGTTCGTTCCTTACTTAACTAGTACTATAGTACGGTTGCGAAGGAGTATTTACTAGTCAAGCATTGCATTATGGCTTTCGATGAGGAATATCACAGTGACGTAACCTTAGGATGCCTCGGTGTGGACGTACCTTCAAAAACCTCATCATCATGAAGCTTTCGAAAGGGAAGTGCCCAAAAGACGCTTTATCATTCATTTTTTATTTGGCCACTGCCTATAAAGTTAGGTAAAAATGCCTTACACAAAACTCTTCGCCCACGAATCCTTCAAATAATCTTGGCTATACCACTGTATGCACTTAGGCAGAAAATTTAAAATATTCAAGGGTTTCGGGATTTCATTTAAGTCGTCCCCTGACATCAGCCTCGTTTTGATACACACAAATCAGCCTCGGATTGATAATCAAAGGCGACCAACACACGCTGCAACAGGATGTACTGCAGGTGCATTAAAACACATTTTTAATTAATATTTGTGAGAGCAAATATGCTTTGACCGCATTCATCTCACCGTGTTATTGTGTTTACACTTTTTATTTCAAGATATGAAATATGTAAATACAACTTTAATACATCAGAACTGATCTCCAGGTAATAAACCTGAAGCCAGTGTTAACGATAAATGGTCGCTGCTAATGATTTGCAATTTAGCTTTGTACGAGTTTTTATGCATTTCATCTGCTTACAAAAACGGCTAGTTGCATTGGTAGTTAAAGTGCAATGCAAAGGGCACCAAAATCATAGCAAATAGTGACAGAAGATACTGAGAAGAACATTTAGAAGTTGATAAGTTCACTAAGCTCGTCTTTATAAATATAGCCATTATCAATTATAATTATAAACGTAACCAATGACCACTCAATAAGGGCGAGAAATTCTCGATTTTTTAAAATTTTATCGTAGAATGATAATTTAAACATTTAAGGGAAGCTGTGAGTTGAGCTATTGAGTTAAGACGTCTTTGATTCTTCTCATCAATTTTTCCTGAAAAATGAAAGATGAACTGATCAACTTCAAGACGTTTTACATCAGTAATTCATTTTTTAAACGTAATTCGGATCGGGTCTTTAACATCTTATTTTCTAAACCATTGTAAAATGAAGCAGTCAACGATTGTAAAAGTTCTTGTAGCTTTTAAGTGAAGTATAAATGTATCATAAGCTTCGAATTTTGTGCAGACCATGAAAGTATCAAATAAAAAGATCGATTTATTACCTAAGCACACTGCTTGCCAAGCCGGGTTGCCTTGGTGCATGCCAACAAACAGACGCACAGGTGCAAAACATGCCATTGAAATTGTGCAATCTTAATAACAAAGTGCATTCAAAGATTTTTGCACGCTTTTTTCTTATTTCTAAATGTCTGTGTCAAACTAGGATCCAAAGTCCCGAGTAAAAAACCAAGTTGATGACTTCTTCTCTATTTTATTGATTCTCTAGCGATGCTCGACGAAAACGGTCGATTAAAGTGAGGACATTTCAAGGGTCGATTCATTAAAAGTTGAACTAGTATGCTATCCTAAGAATAAATCATCTGGAAATGCAGACAGTTTACAAAAAGGTATTCTGTCAGAAAGTCTCGCGCTTTGATTTTCACGCAGAATTTCCGTCAACATAATTACAGTTGCGGTACACTTTCATGTTTATCAGCTTACACTCTGTTGATTTCGCCATCCCGATAAGATATTCGCTCTTACAGCGTATTTTTAGATTCACCTGCGCTGATGTGCCTGTGGGCGGAGTTAACGCTTGCATAATTAATGACTTTATTACTCATGCCATCTGCCCGTGCAGGGCAATTACTTACACACAGCTCCCAGCAGCCGAAGCGTGAATAACCTAGCATAAAATATTTGATGATAGCATTTGGTTTTCCGTAAAAGCAAAAAGGACGTTGAGTCTCGAGTTTTGTGCTAGGTTTTATGCTGGTCTCGTATCATATGCCAAGATGGCTTGTTGTGTATTCCTATACCTAATTCTTTATTCAAGTTTCCATTATCATAGCCGCGTTCTGTGAAGGCATTATCATTATCATATCAAAACTGCAATTCATGATTGATTTTAAACCTTGCTGATTTTGCTGCCTTGTTTCCTCGTGTTCCTTATTTATAAACCACACTAACTTTTTAAAACATTATATTGTGACTACAATAAACATAAGCCGTTAGTGAACGCGTTTGAAATCTATCGTCGATTCATTTGCATTCACAAGCCCCTCCAATACTACAGCTGTCTTACTTATAAATCTTTCTACAACAAATTATGCAAAGCATTATAACTTTGCGCTAACAATGCGTTAAACTTCATAAAATATAGCGTATAGAAATATTGCCTTACCTTCATATCTATTTTAAAATTTTATCTAACTTTCTAACGGAGATACATGTGAGCGGTGTTCTCAAAAGAGGCCGTTCGTAAATACTAAACTACTAAAACATTGTCTCAGAAATCAATGGTAAATCGGATGCGAATTCAAAAGTGATCATTCTTGCCAAATCGTAATCTATCCAATGAGCTTTTACGAAGCACCAGCCGATACACAATTTCTATCTAATAATTTTTCAAGAACTTTCTCTCTTTTAGATTCTTTTCTGCTTTCTTTTTAGCAACCATTTTTTAGCTTCAGTCATTGACCTTCCTGCCTCATTACATATTAGAAATTTTCCCCTCTTAATGTTTGTATCGTTTTCTGCAGATCAATATTTCCGAAGCAGATGTACCACCAAAGTATGACTGGCAAGGTGACTCCTTACACGAAGATGAATGGGTCCATCCCCTCGCCATCAAAAACAACACCACGCCTTAAACAACCATACCAATACTCAAACCAAAGTGCCCAGAACATGGGCAACACGACCATGTCGCCTGACTACACGTATCAAACATTGGGTGCTTACAACAACAATAACAATAATACCATTTATGGGAGCGATCCTAGTCAAATGATGAGTGAAGATACGTCTCCCATTGCAAATACTTCGCCGTACAACAACAGTGCCTGCTCGTTAAGTCCGGGCACTCCAACGTCTTACCAAAATGGAACAGTCAACAACTCGTGGCCATACCATCAAGCATCACTGAGCAGTTTTAGTGAGGCATCGACACAAATGCTTAGTCACGGGCAAAGCAGGCCTCCATCAGGAGGGTATGGATCGAGCAATACTTACGCAACACTAACCAATGGTATGTGGAGTGGAATGGGCCTTGGGGATAGCTCGTCGCAAGTCGTTCCTCATGGCGAACACTCGATGAAAGTTGGCTAACTCTTTCCTTTCATTTTCAGGTATGCCTCTTTCAGCTTGCTCATTTTAGAATTTTGACATTTGGTTATAACAAGAATAATTTTAATAATCATAATTATCTGTCGTCATCGTCATCCTCGTTATCGTCATCGTCATCCTCGTTATCGTCATCGTCATTCTCATTATCGTCATCGTCATTCTCATTATCGTCATCGTCATCCTCATTATCGTCACCGTCATCCTCGTTATCGTCATCGTCATCCTCGTTATCGTCATCGTCATCCTCATTATCGTCATCGTCATCGTCATCACTGTCGTCGTCGCAAATTAGCGACCTTCGACATCAATATTCCTAAAGGCCGATCACCAATTCGGTCTTTCTGTTTGCTCGCGCGCGCCCCGTAAATCGCGCTGCATTTTTCGACTTGTTTGCGCCAAGTCGCTTTCAGAGTTTAAGCAGCGAAAGTTGTTCGATCTCAAATTGAGTTTAAGCATGATCTTAAAATACGCATGCGCGAATAGAAAGATTGAATTCGAGGTGGGCCTTAACAATTGTTATAATAAACAAGGTACAATAAAAAGATAATTTGTAATCGATAGTGCCATAATGACGCACCGTCAGATTTATGAGACATTTTTGTCTCTCCGTTCATGGTAAAAACCGCAATGATATAGAATCAAGCAAAATGCTTAACATTGAAAATGTGATTATGATAAAATCCGGTGCTCATTAAAGATTTATAGTTGCTGCTAGTAACAATGAAAACAGCGCTGGCGTCTTCTTAGTTTGAACTAGCCGTGCTTCTGTACCAAAAATGAAATAGGCAGCAATTATCAGGTAGGCCATGCTCTTCACAAGACTGATAAAAATGTGCGCGTCTATGAGAAACATAAAAACAGTACCAATGAAGTCAGGTCATAATGCTGGGGATTTTCAATTTCTCAACATTCATTTTTTTCAGTGAAATGTTCTGAATAGTTCGTTTATCTTTCATAGGTAGATGAAATGAATCAGAAACTTTCAATTTGTTGTTTTAGTCAAATTTCAGTGTCAATGTCAATTATTGTCAGTTAGCTGGCCCTTCGAGTCGCATTAGATAGTCCTGACCTTGATTTAATGAGGATTCTCTTTCGATACCTTTCTTATTAAAAAAACTAGTGCAAACCCATACATAGAACCTAACCCGATTAAATCCCCTCTCCTTTAAGACATTTCCGATGAACCCGTTGGTCCTTCCAATGATTTGTATGTTGGTGGCATGATTCTAACGGATACAGTAGCCATAGCTAGCTACTTTCAAAAAGTGCAAAAACATGCAAAGGTTTTCTTATAAAATGAGTGTATTTTAAAAATTACTCTAGCAATTTTTCGTGAAACCAGTGCCTCTATGTGACCCTTTATTTACTCAAATAACGCCTTCAAAACTAACTGATTTTATCTTCACAGCTAGAATTCTGTTCACAATACTTTTCTCCCTACTGTTCACAGTGATTTTCGCGTGAAAGCAAATTTGTGCAAAGTTGCGCCTACAAGCTGCGTTCCTTTCTTGTCCCACGTGCTACCAGCTTCATTATCAGAAAGTTAGCATTGAACATAATTTGAACTCCTATATATAATTTGAAACTTTTCGGTTCAAATGCTAGTTCAATAGATCGACGAAGAAAATTGAGATTGTAACTGACTTATTACGTAATTAAGTCTTCTACCAGGATAGAATAATAGAATTATTAGAATTACCAAGTCAAGATTTTCAGATAAGTCAAGATTACCAAGAAGAAGGAATGCATTCAGAATGACACTGAACGTCAAGAAATGGGACAGATAAACAGAAGCAATTTGCAAAAATACATATATTATACTCGCAGAATAATATACTTTTTTACGAGATTCGCCAGAATTTTTTTTCCTATCAACTAACAACACAACTCTTTGCAATAACAAAAGTGAATCTCAGTTGTATCTCAGAGCAAAGTCATCGAATGACGTCAATGTGTCATTAAAGGCCTATTTATATTCAAAAGGGTTACTGCCAATGTTTTGCCTCCATATATACTCAATATCTTCAAGCGGCATTGACATAACTAACCGTAAATTCTCTTTTAGGGCTCCCCTTGGGGCTTATTATTTTTTAGCATTTATAAGAGGGGCTTAAAAGAGGGGGATAAATTGAGAGAAGGGGCTTCATTAATATTTTGTTATTAAAAGCTATTTTCAGTGTTAGACTAATTTTTGCTATTTGCGAAAAAAAACATCGAATCAGGCTTCTACATCAATAAAATTGTTATCGTCATCGTCGTCAATTTTCCAAAATATGTCGTCTTTTATAACTGAGCATTCGAAAGGGTCGAGTTCATCCTTCTGCGTACCAACGGCTTGTAATTTTGGTAAAAAGATCTCACATGGACCGTGCTTAATACCAGTGGCGTAGCGTGACTTTTTCAACTGGGTATTCTTTATTAAACAAAAGGGTGGGGCAGGGTGTGGCTCAATGGGGCTTGATGGAAATAGGAGGGATAATAGGAAGATTAAAAGGACTAGCTATTGACAATTTATCTAATTTTCTTTCTGGTTCGGTTGGCAAGTACTGCACTGTCAGGGCATTACTATGATGAAAACGATACTTTGCTAAAGGACCCTTCAAATATACTCTTCGAACTCATTCATTGCATCAAAATACCACTAACCATTTCATCAAAAGTAATTCAAATCAAAACGTATCATTGAAAGTCAGTAAAATTTTGCTAGTCGAAATATGTCCCAATAGTTGTTGTTGAATCCTCTAAAATTTGCACTGATGTAAAGAGGAAGTAACTGTAAACACCTTCTCTTGATACCTTAATACAAAAGGGCTTTCGAAAGTTATTCACATAGGGCATTACACGAGTTATAAATAGTTTGTGGTATGCAGTGGATGCAGTCTAGACTTTTTCTTCAAGGCTTAATCGTGATATTTTCAATACAAGTTGATGATTGAGAGACTCGAAGGTAATGAGACGAGACTGCACAATAAAGCAAATAAATGGGCTCGAATAATGCAAACAAAATAGGCCAACAATATAAGTGAATGCACCAGGCAACTATAAGGATATTATCCAGGCCTATCTGCATTTAATTTAATTCTATCACATAATACAAACAGAAGCATTCCTGATTGACAAGCAATAACAAAATTGGCATTTCAAGAGGCACAGATCTGAGTCAGTGTAGCATTATGTAAAAGCCTACCTTTCCTTTCCACTTTGCTGTTGGTAGATTAAGATTAGGGGTCAAATGAGAGAATGATTATTAAACAGTAATACGGACACTGCAATAGCTTTGAATAAAGTCATGTTTACTGTTTTCAATGAAGATCCATCACTCCAACCTCTCCGACGTCCATTATCTGTTTATATCGATCTCAAAACGAGACTTTTTTGAACCAACTTTGAGGCTGTACGCTGCATATTTCTCAGCGTACAAGACCATTGTTTTAGCTGATTAACGGCAAATATTATTCATGGAAGGGAGCATTTTGATTGGTTAAAGTACCGTCTAGGGTATTCACTGCGTATTCATGACCGATCTCCATTCAACATGAAGTAGCTCAATCTTCAAAATTAGCTTCAAAGATCTCCCAGCTTCTCTATGCGTTATTGTTTCCATCAATTTCGTGATATTTTGTACTTGTACAAAATGCAGAATATCGAAGGTAACGAATTCAACCAGAATCAATAGCCCCAAAACATTTTTTAGTTATTACATTTATACGTCGTTTTAATATTTTTTCTGAGAAATCTCAGGGTATTCACTGAATACCTTGAATACCCGGACGCTACGCCACTGCTTAATACACATTAAATCTTTTTCTTCAAATCCATCGAAATTGGTCTAAACATGCTTTGAATTTTAATTTGATGAGACGTATTGAATCACCAATAAATAAGATGAATAAAATTCTCCATTTTTGTCAAGTTTACTTATCCTGGCATAAGTGAAATTTGGAGGGGGGGGGGCTCTAATTAAAAGGGACTTCTCCTTAATGCCACAAGTAGATTCCTTGTAAGCGGAAAAAGATATCTCTCAGCAACACAAGACCATTAAAGAAGTAACATTATTACATTGAGGTTAGAGCTTTGATTTCTGCACGAGGTTATTTTGTTTCCCTGATTTAAAGGTCGGAAACTAAATCGAGTGACCTTAATTATGGAGCCGTTTATCGCAAAATTCAACTCTCACTTGATTGCCTTTACGATTGACCTTGTACACTTGCTTCATGTGAGTCCCCTGTGGTTTTGAGACAGCTGCTTCAAACAAGAGCAGAAGGAGATCTTCTCATTTTAAATAATTTTTTTGCAATGCATTTCCTTTGAAATTCACAGCAAGGCGAAGACTCTTTGCGATAAATAAGTCTGTAACGAAGTCTTCACCTGCGTTTTCTGTTTAGATAAAAGCAATTGCGCTGTCATTTCGTAAGGACAACATTGACAATGGCACTGCGAAACGCACAACTAAGATCAACTAAGAATAAAGGCGATGTTCAGCAGCATCTTTTTTGTTGCATACATCGAACACTAGTGAAGATTTCGTTCTGGCCTTGTCGGCATTTAAACAAAAATTTACATGAATTAGTACAGAATGATGTCTGTTATAAACAATATGATTATTATTATTATAGTTATCATCAACAGTAACATCAACAGCAAATAATGCAACATCGAGTTTAAAAGACCAGAACAAATATATAATGTTTCGAGATACTTTTTATAGTTTGGTATTTAGGCAGACAAATCATGGCACTGGCCTAAATTGCATTATGCTCATATTTGCCTTGAAGTGAATAAATTTATGTTTTGATTCATCTTTTTTTCTCTAATATGAATTTTAAGTCTTCTCTTTGAGTAAGGCCAACACATCAAATAGCAATATCTTTGACCAGCTGTTTTCAATTTCTAGTATGATCTAAAATCATAGTTTAAGCTTTTGGTTTGTTATCTAGAGGGACTGTTGTGTTCTTCTAAGTAAAGCTTGTTTTTCTTACAACTTTCAGTACTTTGCAAACGCTCTAACTCTACTCATCCAGCTGCTTGTATTAGCATTGCTTAATTGAGTCCAGCATCTATTTGAAGTACATCACATTGCATTTTGATGCAAAGTTCACACCACCGCGCTCAGTCTGTGCAAAGCCGACTCGTGAACTTTTAACTCGCTTTTCTCACCTGGACATATCAACTGTGCAGTTGTCACATCTACAGTGCTCTAAAAATGTGATTTCTTTTTAAGCCTAACAAAAAGAATCAAAAAATTTGGTCTGTTAAATTTTGTGTACTCAAATTAATGTTTGTCTGACTGCTGACGAAAGACAGGGTGTTACTTCCAAATATTTCTGTAAAGTGTGCCCCTTCTCTGTTACCTACGACATTAATTGTTAAGGGGCCTAACGACTTGTATGAAAAGATTCACTAAGAAAAACACATAGTGACGTTTAGACAAAAAGAGTTGCTGCTTCTCTTGGTATCTCGTCTGTTGTTATTTTAATGAAAGTAAATTTATTTAATGATCAGTAAAAAACATTGGAACATGTAGATTCTACTTTTTTTGTAGCATGCTGCACATCACACGGATAATGGCGTCTAGCAGTCCGCTACAACTTTCTCAGACGAAAAAAGACGCATGGTATGCTGAAACCAAGGAAAATCCAGGCATGCCCCAGCTTTGAGATGCTCTCAGAGTGTTACCACCAGACTCATGTTCATTATCCATGTAAATGCGTAATTATGTATTCATGCAATCATAAGTTTACATTTTGTGTACACAATTTATGAGACGAAAACTAACCTTATAAATTATGTTGTAGTCATACCATTGTTGCTCAATGGCAATTGTACTTCGTTTTCCATCGAGTGCTAAACGAAAAACGGCTTTCACAATTAATAGTTGAAAAAGCGTTTGCTTCGATTTGTGCTTTTTGTCTAAGCAATCGTAATTATAACGCTTTCTAGCCCTCAGCTACAGCTCTTTGCTAAAAAAGTATTTTGTTTCTTCATCTGAAGAACCAAACTATCACTGCAATCATCTGGTACCCATTTTACTAATAAGCTTACGGTTCTTACTCATTTTACGGTTCTTAGCTTCAAATTTCAGAGCAAACATTCTTACGATGTCCTGTCTTGTCAACTGTCTATTTTGCTAAATGAAAGTTGAATATGAGTCCTAAGGCACATTTCATCTTGATGACAACTTAGCACGAAAGAAACCTTAATTATTCTTCTTCCTCTACAGTCAGCTTTCTTTACTTGTTCAGTTTTTTTAGAAACAATCTTCAAATTTTGCTGTCTTTAGGAAAAAATATATACTAATTTAACAGCATTCCATTTTCCTCAGGTTCAAATATGTCCAAAGTTAAAAATTAAGAGAAAATAGTCATATCTTTTTGTTTCTTCCCTAAAATTTTGTGATGATGTTCAGGCAAAAAAAACAACAGCTGGTCGATGAGAAAATAAGTTTTTTTTCATTTTCATGCTGCATACCTCCAAGTGAATTCATTTTTGTTTGCATTCGGATGCCACTGCAAAAGTGATGCTTTCAACTATCATCAGGTAGAATATCATTTGTTGTCCTAGAAGAATAGACGCTCAATAAATCTTTTCTCTTAATCATTCAGAATTTCAAAAATATTTACTTTATCAGAAGGCTTATTTATTAAAGGCTTTTTTGTAATTCCGATACAATTTTACAAATAGTACATTTGGCTTGTCTGTGCTCTTGCTGATATTCTGTTAAAGGTTTACAATCTCGGTTAAAAGCTTGCAAACCTGCTCTGGTATTGGTTCATTCTAATACAGGCATCAAACATTTTCCAAAACTTATCTATAGCCGTCACATCTTTCTCACAGATTTTCTGCATTGAAGTCATTTGTGGACTGTGTTTTTAAGTTCAAACGATGTCTTGACAGTAGAGCAATCTGTGGTAGAAATTTTAAATGTCTCTGTAATTTGCATTGATAAATCAATGTTTATAAAAACGGGTGTATATAATTACATTAGCTATTAAGTTGTACATAGGGTTGCACAAACTGGCTCATATTCCTATTTGGCGTCCGTTTAATGAGTAATAGCTAAATATTGTACGTTATTCATAGGTGTCTAGGTCACCATGTCGCATCATTTTTAATATATTGTGCATGATATTAATTGAAGATACATCAAAATGGTTGCTTGACCTGTGTGTTTAATTTTTTACTGCCTAATCTGGTCTAGTCGCAGTTCAACGAAGTTCTGGAAGAAATTTGCTCCACAATAACCAGTTTGACAGCTCTAATGTTTTTATAAAAAAGCATATTTCCTACATTTTGGCTTGAAAGCAATTGCGTCAAAACTATCAAAAACGTAGCTAGATCATCTCATTCTATCACTGACAGATTATTTGAGGCTACGAACTTTACCATTTCTACTCTCCTATTCTTTGATTAACGCAGAAATCTCGTTTCGAAACCGTTGCAACACAATCATAGAACTCTAGAAGTACATGGATTGGCCTATCACAATGGAAAGAATCGAAAACAGGGAACATTTTTGAATTTTATACGTTTATACATAAATTTAATCTATAGCAAGGAAGCAGGAGCAAAGTTTCAAGTTGAGGAGGGGGGCTCTACACAGATTAGTAAATTCTAATGGTGGTTTGCCACGACTTTCTTTGATGCCACAACCTTAATATCATACATCAGCGGAAAAGTGCAGGGGTTATAGCCCCCAAATTTCTTCTGGAGACCCAGACATATTAAAAGAATAAAACCAACGGCAGGCTATAGCATAGCCAAAAAACCGTGTTCTACATCAAACTGTGGTAGAGCAGTTTTAATAGGCAGTTTCAAACCAAGAGAAACTCTGTCTATTCCTCTTTAACTTTTATCATTCATCGGCTTCGTAGCAAGCTTTCATATTTACCTAGCAGCACACTTAGCATGGGTATGTAATGATAACTTTATATATACGTAAGCGGCAATGAGATCCTACTACTGCCTGATATCGAGAGAGTTAAGCAGACTTCCCCATCAGCCTTTTTGTTTACTCTTGCGCGCGCTCTGCAGTTTCCTTAAAGCCTGGCTTCCATAAAGTCGTAAGAGGGTCGGCGACGGTCTGCGACAGTCTGCGTCAGTCTGCGTTGGTCTCCCGATTTTACGGGAACAATTTCTTCCGATCGTTACGACTGCGCTAACTGTGAATTGTAAGTGTCGGGAGAGTTAAAGTGAGTTCAACTTTCACGACTCTTTCGACTCTAACGATCAAAGAAAATTTTAATGGGAACACGGGTCGCCGACGTTACCGATCCACTCTTGTTAAGAAACAATCACGATTTTGCTTGCTGTTGTTTTGTTGACGTGGGAACACTTTTTCTTTGATCGTTATGGAGGATGGAAGAAGAGATCGGCGACACGTTCCCGGCTCTTAAGATTTATGGAAACCAGGCTTAACTTGTCTAATTGACTCCGCAAACTTGTTTGCGCGAAGTCACTCTGGGAACCCGTTTACACTGTGCCGGATAAATTTTATCCGCATCAAAATTAGTTCAGAAAGGCGTCGCGTTTACACTAGACCCACGCTATCCGCACGAATTTGAGAGCGGCTATCTGGACAAAATTAGTTCACCTAGAAAAGTGAATTAAATTAATTCGGATAGCTATGTGGAACAGTGTAAACGATAAATTTTATCCACATCGTATCTCGCTTGAAAGTGATTGGCTATTTCATTCAATTTAGTTTTCACTGTCTCCCAAACAAGACCTTTCGCCATCTTGACTGCCTTGTTGTCGATAAATACTCGTGTTAAAAGTGCAGTATCTTGCCAGTCCACGTAAAATTGGCATCCTTGTCAGCTTTCCCCATTTTCGTTGCTAGTTCAGTGTCATTTTGTTTGATTTTTATTGAAAATATCTTTGGATTTGGTCTAAAAAAGAAGCAGATGATTCTGAAGCGAGAATGAAGTCTTTTTACGTTGGCGAGAATTTTGTTATTATTTTGTTGCCCAGAGAAGATTTCATTTTGGGCGTTCTGTGCATGATTTAGATCATGTGACTGCAGTTGTCCGGCACAGTGTAAACGGGAGGGCAAAGTGGACAAAATTTGTGCGGCAAAGTGTAAACGCAAATCAACCCGAACAAGTTTTATGCGGATAAATTTTATCCGGCACAGTGTAAATGGGGTCTTGGAGTAGGATGTAGTGGTGTAGCAAAGGCACCTGGGGCTCTCAGGAATAAAACTGAAAAGGAACATCTGTGTAGAGACTAGAAGAAGGTCCCACCTAAAAGTAAATAGCATGGTGATGGTGAACAGAACAGCAAGCTGTAAAGCAGCAAGCAGCAAGAGTTTTATTCCTCAGTTAAAAAACCTAAAAGATTTTTGGAAGCAAATGGATCTCTAGCGAAGTCTTATAATCATGGATATAAAAATATTTTTAAGGGCTCCTTTTGATTCGTCAACCTTAGTTATCGAGCTAAGGTGACCTAAACTGTATTACGTCATTGTAAGGACCTGCCACCAGAACGATCTCAAAGTACTATGCGTACAGTCGGTTGCACGAGCAAAAAGAGGTCGGTTAACAAAGTCAAACCGGTGCAAATTTTGTCCAACAAATACCAACAATTCTTGAGACAAAATCCTGCACTGGTTTCGAAATTTATATTATATAACATTGTACAAACATGTTGAACAATGCTGGATGATGTTGCATGTAGTTTATCCGGCTCACCAATGCTTCATGAATCCGGGGATAAAATAAGGTAGACAGCTGCGATGCTCTCCCAAAAAATTTCTCTGTGACTGGTTTCAACTATGTTTCTGAGACTAAACGTTGGAGACTCTGGTACCTAGTGGGGTAGATGTAGTTTGTCTTTGATAAAATATGTTTGATGTTGTTGCCAGTGGCGAAGCCAAAGGTCCTGCTGGTCCTGCTGAGCAGGACCAAGAATTTCCAAAGATAAGATTTACTGTAAACAATAAACAATTTCTTCTTTGCAAAAAGGAAGTTTCAAATTCTTTTTGATAAACAGTCCCCAGTTCCGCCAGCTGATACAGGCATCCCGTGCTAATCTCAAGGTCCTGTTCTCTTCTACGGCAGCCCTGTATTTTGGTCCTGCTCATAACTATGATACCCTATGTTTGGTCCTGCTTCACAATGGGCTTTTGTGAATTTAGTCCTGCTTCACAATAGTCTAGAACAAAGAGCAGTCCTGCTCAATCTCGGGAGCAGGACCTCGTCGAAATGACCATCATAACATTTCGTAAGCAGTTGTGATTTGATTGGTCGAGGGTTCACCTACGTAGGTCAAAGAGCATTGTTTGAAAACCTTTGGTCCTGCTATTTCTGAGAGCAGGACTGCAAGAATTGCCCTGTGCATTCTCGTTCTGCTATGAGATACTAGCAAGGAGGCCAGTTCAAGTATTATGGCGAGGCGATATGAATGCGGATTTTCTGCTTGCTTTGGCAATACCAATGATATTATTATTGACAGCAAAACTTGCCTCAGTTGAGCTGCATAAATTTTATTTGTAACAAGACAGAGTCCAAAGTTCGCAAGAAAGAAATGTAAACAACGAGAATTGGCTGTATGAGGCACTCTGATTTCGGCCTTTGTACGATCGTTTGAGGCACGGTATATCATGGTGGCCTAAATAAAATTTTCTTAGACTTGGACAAGGACGATGAAAGCATTTACTGTTGTGTGATTGAAAGTTTTGAGTTAGAGAATAAACCAATTTCAGCGGAATTTGCATTTTTCTACCTGAATTGTTTTCTCGTCTAATGGTTTATCTAATAAAGTTGTTTTCATTGATAATGCGACACATTATTCGATTGTACCTCTCTTTATCAGCTGCAGAATAATTGTTCTGCAGAATATGTGAACTTGCCCCTACAGACTTTAAACTCTGTTGTTTATTAAAATTATTTTAATAGAGTATCTAGATTGGTCAGGTTTATAAGACCAAAATCTGGAATACCACAAATATATGATATGCAACTTCAAATGCCACCCCTACCCCCCTTTTATCGTCAAATTTAGTTATCACCAATTTGAACTTTTACTTCAGCTGTAGAGGCTTACTACAATTTAACATAGATTTGTTTGAAAAGTAAGCCCCCTAAAGCACGTCTTTGAGTACGGGTTTATTTTTCAAAAGATAGACATCGATTTAAAATTTGCTTTTTACTGAATTTAAGAAAAAATTCATCTGCAAAATAGAATTTTTGTCCATAGGCTTTTCCAATTGAATAAGGGCGTGGCCCTGTCCATATAGCAGGACCAACAATTTTTGGCTAGCTTCGCCACTGGTTGTTGCATGATGTTTGAACCCTTTGGCAACAATTGATAATAGATTCCATATAAAAAGAAATTTATGAAATATCAAATATATAATAATTCAAAACACGTCATGCTTTTAGTTAAAGGCATTATGGAAGGAAAGATGAAAGCTCAAAAGAAAAAAATCGCCTTCATTTCTTCAAAAGACCCCCTTTGCTCTTATCTTTATTAATGTTCCTGTCTTGTCGCGTTTTGGCCTATTTTCATTCTCTTTTCATTGTCGTTCATGATTGAAAACAGGCCCTCAAACAATGCTGCCGTATTTCGTTTTGCTTGAAACTTGAAAATTTGCGCTGGTTTGGCCAAACTTTCATTCAATAGTGTCAAAGATTGCCGAACAAGATATCCAACAGCTTTTTAATTTGTTTGAACAAATGTTGCGTTGGTTTGACCAGGGCTGTATCACTGGACACGTGCTGCTGCCGAAAAAAGGCGTGGGTCATGGCCCACCTGATGACGTATTTGTCACTGATGTGTTGTCCTAGCCAATAGAACGCATCAGTTTGTGACCGTTTCAGGCCTACGGTTTAAGACACAAGAATACAACATAGAATTAAGACAGCAGCATTAATCTATACTAATTTTTCAAACTGTCTTTTTCACAGTGTACAAACGATGGCATAAATAATGAATAATAAGCCTTGCATACTTGACTTTTGGAATAAGCGGTAATTTTTCTCAGAATTTCACTGCATATTCTTCAGTAGTTCTAGCAACACTATTCTGACTGGTCTTTCTAGTATATCATAGTATTTTATCCACCACTAGCAATATTGAGTCTAGCAAAAACAATTTTGTTTGCCAAACCGTAATCTGGGACCTCAACATTTGGAAGTATGGCTTTCAAATGATTTCAAAACTAGGACACTGGACCCCTCAAAGAGCTGGTGTAAATGAGCGATTGCATCTACAAAAATGCCTTCTTTGTTTGTATGAAAATTATCCTGAATGTTCTCAAACTGTTTTGCAAGCTTTATAAATCAAACATTTTTTGGCTGTTGATAAATTTCCAAGATGTCTTCCATCATTCACTATAAAAAATAGCGTATTACATTTTCACCATCAAAAATCTTGGCACGTCCAAAACTTCGACGTTACCTTAATTTTTTTGCCATCATAAAAAAGAAACAAACTTAATGGCTCTATTCGATGCAAATTCTTATTTATTCCTTTAGGCCCTAGGAACGATCATTTCTCAAAATATTCGTCAAAATAATTTTCAGTTGGGAAACAACGAGTTTCAATTCAGGGGCGGCGCCAAGTAATTAAAATTGGGGGAGGGCTCAAATTGATATCGTTGTTTGACTGATAAAACCAACTCCTGAAAAACGCACTAAAATGCTTCACGGTATGTTATGTTTATGATTTTATGCGGTACTCGTTATGCGAGCGATACACCGTAGGGGCGGGCGAGTGGTTGTTTGAGGCCCTAGATACATTTGAAAAAAGAATTTTAAAATGTTATTTGACCACACCCTTCAGATTAGCTCAATATACATTTCAGAATGTTTGTTGCAGTCATTTTCTTGTAATCATTTAAAATATTTTACTATTTCTAAGACATGCTTTTGTTATGTTTGGTTAATTTCAAGATTGAAAATATTACTTTATGAGGTCCCATAGACCTCTGCTTATTCCTAAAACTAAGCAATAAAAGGACTTATTGCAACTTAATGAACCTTAGTCAAAGCTGAGGCCTTATCTTCCTCAATTTCTTCCACTTGTTCCAACTGATCCACTACACTGTTAAAAAGCATGCTCTTGTGTTTAGAGGTTTCGTACGGGTACGACATGTATCATGGAAGAAATATAATCAAGCAAGGTTTTGATGCAGAACATATTTGCGAAAGGGCTTCTACAACCAGAACCTTGTAATCATTTTGGGAACCCAAATGATAGTCCCTGCTGCTGGTTACTGTTCTCATTGAAAAGTCTTTATGAAGTTATAAAGCTATCTGTTTCTGAGTATATGCCGAACAAATGCAAATCGATCTAATGACACTGCTAAGTAACAAATATCGGTTCTGTTGCACTTCAAGAATCTAAATGTTACTTTCAAAATAACTACTGCGTCTAAATCCTATAAAAAGGCACAGAAATACCTGGGGGTGTGGGGTGCCACACCCCTTCAATCTTTGAAGTTTCTAAGTCCAATTTACATCAGATAATGACACTACATAATGAAGGGGGAGGGTCACTTATGTTCAGAGGGGTACACCCTATAGTTGTGGGGAAGAAACTTCCTTGTACTTTGATACTATCGGATATCTGACTCAACAATATACTTTTTGATACTTTCAACCGTTCAACTGTCGCATAACAATATCAAAAACATTAATAAAATAACAGATCTGTTAAAATTGATTATTATAGAAAACAGTCGAAATTACTATGACTAGTGGTCTCTCATGTGCTCAATAAGACGATTTTGTACTCTGATGTTATTGGGACTTATCAACACTTTTTAGCTTATAATTTTGGGTCTGTTAAACTTGTTTTCAATACTTTAGGTGGCTTCTTGGGATTGTGGATGGACCTTCCCATATTCAAAAATTTCGATTGACTCCCCCGGGTTAATCTTAATGCTGAGAATTCTGTCACTTCAGAAAGAAAAATGACCGAAACCAAAGTAAAATTTGGAAACTTGAGGAAATTGAAAATGTTTATAGCCCTTAGATTTTCAAAATACAGCTATAAAGAAAATGAAAATGAAATTAAAAAATCTTCTGTTTTTTAATATGAATGAATAAATAGAACTACTTTGAACTGTAAAATTTAGGCATTAACTTTTTATAATTTAAATACAGTGAAATCTCGATATAACGAACTCTGAAGGGGGCCAATTTTGGACCAAGAGATTGGCAAAGCTGGTATCACTCCACTCCTAGTTGGTTTGTTGTCTTCGATTACTCCATATTCTTATTTGTCTTCTTCTGCTTCTCCATCTGGGTCTCTCAATAACGTTTTGTCGTCGCTTATTGTCAATGTGTAAGAAAAAGGTATTTATTAGCGTTATTCGCAGCAATTCTTGACGCAATCAAACTTTCATCTCATATCAGCCAGTGCTTGAAGTGTGACATCGGCATGTTTTGCCGATGACAAAAATTATTTTCCCCCAAGAGAAAGTGATAAATGAACACCGAAAATAAATGAACAAAAATAACAGATGAAAAATTTTTGAAAAACTATTATGAAGGGACCCAAAATTTGGTTCGTAATAACGAGAGTTCGTTATATCCTGGGTTCGTGATACCGAGAGAATTTGTAAGGAGTTTGTTAGGCAGAATCCAAGAGACCAGACATTTAGTTTGTTATACCACGTTGTATCCGGGGTTTGTTATATTTAGATTCCACTGTATTCAAATTATACTATTTTTCATTAATCCATGTAAGCATTTACTTAGCACCTGTTTCTAAAAATATTTATAATTGAAAACAAGCTACTAATTCCTAGTAAAGTTTAAAAAAAATTGAATTACCAGGAGAGTGGATTAAAACTGGTTGTGTTCCTCGTTTTCTGACCATGCCCATTTTAAACCCATCGAAATGAGAAAGGTTTTAAAGTAGGATTTTCTTGGCCGAAGGAAGGTTGACAACTTTTCTGGACTCTGTACAATTCTATTACAAAATAACAAATGGTTTCTTGTCAGTCAGGAATTTTGTATCCTTTTCCCTCCCGAAATAACTTTCAATTTACGCCCCTGCTTATAAAATTAGATTATTTGTTTTGTTGTTTCTTACTTTGTTATGCTAAAATTTGTATCTATTTTTCAATTAATGAAATTTCATTTGCTGTATTGGCTGGAGGAAATGACTACCAATACAAGTCTGCCAGTTTTGAATTTTAATGGCTCGCTAAGTTCGCACATTCAAATTTACAATGGGGGTTATTTCACAAAATGTTGCAAAAGAGTCGCAAAAGTAAAAATTGGTTACATTGATAAGAGGGCTAGTCTAGGGCTGCCGAGGTGTGGGGGGAGGGGGGGTCGACCGCGCCAATGGTTTGATAAATTTTCGGTTTTGTCGGTAATATTATGTCATTTGTCGGCAAATTCGCTTGCTTTTATGAGCATTGCCCCCCACTTGAATAATGAATTTCCGCCACTGCCCTCGCTAGCTTTTTTTCATAACGGGGTGTCCTGATCCCATTTGCCGACAAAGTGGATCAGCCATCCTTTATTTGGCGACATATATGAAAAATTGCCGACGAAGCACCCCTAATTTCCAAAATACCTCTGGCTTTTACAATGAAATTTTCTTCCAAGGGGGCTGTCACACTTCCCACATCCCCTATAGAGACTGTCCTGGGATAGACCCCCCTGCACTACACCCCTGTGCTTACCTTAAAGTGAAAGAAAAAAGAATGGAAATGATTGATTTTATCAATAATGCTGAAAATTGTCTTTTTGTTCTATTTTGTTTTTGTCAAAGAAATTTTTAAAATTGAAAGTTTTGTGTCCGAACTAAATTGTCCGAAAGTTTTGGTCGTATTCGAGAAACGCGTCTGTCCGCGGGTATCTCGAAGGTCAGACAAGAATCCATCCTTTACTCGTGGTTGTTCAATATGGCGCATTTTCGTCCTCCCGAAATTCAAGACAATCCAGACGGATGGGGCCCATGTGCTGTTCCAGCACGGTTCAAGGACATTCCATATCAACCTTTTTCAAAAGGAGACAGAATCGGAAAGGTTCGTATTTAATAACAGTGAAGAGGAGTTGTTGCTTCGTCTACTTTAGAAGTTTTTTATCTTAGGCCCAAAAATTATTACGGCCGAACAACGTGCTTGAAAATATTTAGATTAGTTTATTTTTGCAGAAACTTTTTCAATTACAAACATGTAAGGATTCTACAGGCTAACACCTTATGCTTTCGGCTGGAAATCAAAGGACACAGTTAAGGATGTTGTAGATACTTTGAACGTTTAACTTTTCATATATGAAGCGGAAAAAGCATGTTGAAATTTTCAGTTGGCTGGCCAGTTCCTTTTAAAACTGATATCTGCATAATTTGCTGTCGCCTCCTTACATGGTGGAAGAATATCACATGAAATTATCATTTTCGTTCAGGTTTTTGCTGTTAGTACTGTTTTTGCCTTTGATTTAGTTTGATTAATGGTCATCATCATGCTTAATCAAGTTGAGGCCTTTAGCTTGATAGCTCTTTTAAATGTTTTTCTGAGAGTCTCAAGCACCTAGTTGTTCTACTTTATTAAGAAATTTATCACTTTATTGAGCGGTCATCAACAAGTAGTTTTTGTCCAAGTAAACAGAATTGGACTATTAACAGCTAAACAATTTCCCTCATTCTTAATGGAAAATACTATTATTCACCATTTATTAGGCCTTTACTGAAGTTACTGGCTTAAAACTTTTTTTATATTATAGTCATAATAGCAAAATAAACATACAGTGGAACCCCTATATAACAAACTCTGAAGGGAGCCAGAGAAAAGTTTGTTGTATTTAGAGTTCGTTAAAACAGGGGAAAATGTTTTTTATGTTCGTTTCACCATTCGTGCCTGAAAAACCTTCAGTGGGCTTGTTTAGTCTATCTCCATTTAACTCCAAAATAACCAAGCTGAATTCAAAAAATACTACTGGTTGGTCATTGAAAATGAAAAACATAATGTTCCTATTATAATTTTGGACCAAGAGATTGGCAAAGCTGGCATTGCTCCACTTCTAATTTGTGGCTGAATGTCGTCTTCCATTATTGCCTCTTCTTATTTGTCCTCTTCTGCTTCTTCATCTGAGTCTCTCAATAAATAATTGTCATCCCTCATTGCCAATGTCTCATATGTAAGAGGGTATTCGTTAGTCTCAATGTACTCATTCACAGTAATTCCTGATGCGATCAAACTTATATCTCATGCTCTATCAGCCAATGCTGGCTATGTATCATCAGCATGTTTTGCCGATTACAAATTTGATTTCGCCCCAAAACTTAGTGATAAATGAGCACGGGGGATGAATAAATAAAAATTGCAGATGAAAAATTTATAAAAAGGGTAATTATGATGAAGGGATATAAAAATTGATTCGTAATACCTAGAGTTTGTTATATCTGGGTATTGTTATACTAAGAGAATTTGTAAGGAGTTTGTTAATCAGAATCCAAGGGACCAGACATTTAATTTGTTATACTGGGAAGTTTGTTATATCTGGGGTTCATTATACAGGCTTTCGTGGGAAAAATACAGCAGGCCCTGCCAACCACTGCACCCCTGAAAACATCCAGGCGTGTGATGGCGTGTGACATTTTTTCACAAAACTCTTTGGTAATTATGATAGATCTACGGAGAAATTGCCAACACAAAAATGATGACAGCAATATTTTGAAGAAATTTACTTCGCTGAAATCTTACCATGACTACTTACATTATAGCAACTGAGCAATTTTCTAAACAAGTATAAACTGAGCTTATTTAATATATCAACAAAAGACGGCACTACAAGTACAGAAATATGTTTGCCATGTCGTAAGCAGGTTTCATCCATGGGAAGGAAATTCATATTGGGGGGCTGCCCATTGTTTCCCTTCTCATTCAGTACACTGTTATAAAGGAAACATACCACAGTTTGACATTTATTGGGGAGGTTCAGCCCTACAGCCCCGCGGTTCCGACGGGCCTGTAGAGTCATTGATGCTGTGGCGTTCATCTGGTTCTAATGCCCGTTTTTGCGTGTAAATCCTTGCCCTGAGGGCCCTCTGTTATCAAGCATGACAGCTATTTTATAAACCTCACTGGCCAGATGCATAAAATATAATGATGGCCCATTTTTCATTAAACCAAATTTTGCTAAATCTAGATTTAAAGCATAGCGATATCTAAAGAGGGGGCCATAGGGGGTAGCGAAATCAGCAAATAATCTGCTATTTTTTATTGCATCATTGGCAAATCTGCCAATTTTTATCGCATTATCGGCTGCTTTTGCTAAAATTGCGATCAAAAATGAAAATCTTGTTCAAAACACTAAATGTTCCTCTTAAAATTTAGGGACAAAAATGTCTGTTATAGTCTTCTGTGTTTGAATTTGTTCAATGAAATGCCATTAAGCCTTGTAAAGGCACAAACGTTTGCACAAATCTCTTCTCCTTTTTTGCATCATTGAAAGTGCATATTTGCCAATGTATGTTTTGTTGCTGACCATAATGATTCCACCTAGAAATAGCGATAAATACACAGAAAAAAGGAAGACCAAAATAACGGTGAAAATTTTTGGAAAAGTTTGTCATATTGAGGAAAATTATGATGAAGGGACTACAATTAGGTTTGTTAATATACGAAAATTCATTATATACAGGATTAGTTTACCAAGAGAAGTTGTGCGGAGGCAGAAATCAAGGAGCCAGATATCTCTTGTCATGCCGGATAATTAATTATACTTGTAACCAGGTCAGGTTTCATAATATCGGGATTCCACTGTAGATTAGTCCTAAGGTTAATTCAAATTTTTTATTCAATCTGCAATCCTGATAAGCCTTTTTGAAGTCAGTGTGTGAACCAGTGGCCTTTTGGTATATAAACAGCGCCAAATGTTGATTCATTAGTGATTCTTCCATCAAAATAAAAGTACGGCCTTCCAGACTGTTGTGCTGTTCAAGTGATTTGAACATGATCTATGTGACATCATGATTGTGCCGAAGGCTTGGGAAAACTGATACATGCACGGAAAATGTTTGGTGGCTAACTTTGACCCTCAATATCTCGAAAGCTGTGTTGAATATTCAAAAAGTGATAATTTCTCAGGTATTCATGTTTGATAGGTTTTCATTTGAGTTCAAGTTAATTTTGCATGTCAGTTCACTTTAAAATATGTCAAATCTGTCAGTTAACATCACAATGGTGGTGTTTTCATTTTGTTATTGAAAAAGAACAGGGGTCAACAGTTAAGCATAGATGTGTAGAAACCTGCCCAAAGATTAAACTATTGTATGTGTCTCTAATATAAAGTAACAAGGATGTCTTTACATGGTTAAACAACCAACAGAAAAAGAACAGCAATACAATGTTAGGAGAGAAACATGGGGAAATGCTCAACTTAATGAATTTTTTCTACCCATTTACTTTTGCCAGCCCACAAGAACTTGTAAACTGTCATAAACGTATCACCTGAAACAAATGCAAAGAGATAGGCATCATAGAAAAACCAGGACCAAGAATTTCTTTGACTAGATACTGATGCTAGTTTCCAATACTTTATCTGTGTGCAATAGAAATTTTGAAAAAATATGAAAAATTTAACAAGAAAAGTAGAACCCATACTTGTGGAAGACAGCCCTTTCCAACCTAACTGTTGTGACATAGACAGCAATATATTGTGACTTAGTCTTTAAGATTAATTTAGAATTTTTACAATTCCATGTCAAAGTGTTTCTCCTTTGCTTGTGTAATAATGTTGTAATTGCAAGAATGATGTTAACTATTGATTCATTATTATCCAATTACTGTATCGCATACATTCTACAATTTTCTTAGAACCTTCTTAAGCAGGACTTAAGCAAGCTTCATAAGTATTGCATCCCTGGATTTGCAAATTTTTGTATGCTTGCTTGAGATTGTATGACTAGGTGTGAAAACAAAGATGATTTGGAGAGACTGCATATATTGACTTCTTTTTTACTTTTAAGGTTGCTGACTGGACTGGTAATGCTTATCAAGACCGCAAATATACAAGTAAGTTAGCTTCTATCATACTTTTTCTTTAGCAATGGCTGAGTAAAGATATTACATAACAGATATAGGTGCAAGGATGACAAAGATATTAGGGTTGCTGACTACAGACCCAAGGTTCTGCGGTTCAAGTTCCTAACATGACTAAACTTATTTTCAGATTGAGGAGAGTTGCCAGCTCTCTGTAATTCCAGGCGTAGGAATCACAAGGCACGGCAACATCAAGAGAAAGACCTGGACACTGCTTGATAAACATACACTTCTCAGTGTCCTAAGTCTACCTTTGGAATTACAACTTTTATGTAGAATTTTCAGGTTAACCACATCAATCACATTTTGCTTCCAAAAGAAAAGAAAACTTAGTTAATTAAGTTCAAGCAAATCTAGATAATATATTTTAAATAACTGGTTAGAAGTGACAGTTTCGTTGCCATAGATGAAATGTTGAAACCTTAGATGGAATGTTATTTCACTCTTTGGGCAATAAAGTATTTGGCCTTGAGTGGTGTAACAGCTGTCGTGAAAGATCACAGTATACAAGCAAATTATATCAAAATGGATAATGAAAAGATCGAAGGAAAAAGAAGCTCATGTTGTATCAGTGTGTGTTAAAAATGAAGTTAAATAGAACCAAAGGAAATAAAAATTCAAGGTTTAAGTTAGCTGTTTGATTATATCTGGCGAAATATTTTCAAGGATGGTTATTTGATGGGCTTGTGAAAATTACTGTTCAATGATCAGTGATATATAACGGGTTTTTCTTGTTTTTATAATAAATTGAAATTTGTAATCACATTTTTGTTTTCAATTGGAACTTTCAGTTAGGATTAGGCTCTCAGGATTATATTTTCAACATTTAATTGTATTTTGGTTTATGGTTTTTTGGTTAAAATCTGTTAAAAATTATCTGACTTTATTCCAGACAAGTATGCATCACAGTTTGGAGCTGGTAGCCAGTATGCCTATTACCATGAAGGGGATGAATCTGCATTCCAGCTGGTGGACACTTCAAAGCCTCATAAGACTGCTTATCAAAGAAATAAGCAGCGATTTAACAATGTGAGTATAATCGAGCAGATAAGAATTTAGAATAAGTTATTTTTTATGATTCTGATGTGTGTTTACACACTTGATGCACACAATTTAATTTTAATGTATGAGACCATTGTTGCAGTATTTAGAGGCAAAGCTGTACAAATTGTGACTTGGTTTTATTTTTAGGCAAAATTGAAGAGAGAAAGGGAAAAGCAGCAAAGAAAAGAGGCAATTATGATGGGCCAAGCACAAACAAAAGGCAAAATGAAAGGAAAGTTTCAAAGGCACTGGACAAGATCTAGGTACAATGACAGACAGGTGAATAACTAGCTGATCATACACTGTCACATATGCATGACTTTCACCAGGGAAATGCCAGGAAAATGCCGGGGGGAGTTTCTTCACATGAACAATTTTATCGATGATAGGCTAGGGATATGTATAATTGTGTTAACGGCCTTTTCTTATGAGAGAGTTCTACTCAAATTGTGATCACTGTTTCTGATGAATATTACATTTAATTTAAATTATTAATTTGAGCAAGAAAAGGTTGTTAAAGTATTTGCCAGGCTGCTATGATCTGATCAAGAAATGCCACCTAAAACATCAAAAGTACAAAAATGCCATTCTACAATTTCAGAAATATATAACTGAAATTATTAATCTCAAGTGACAGATTTGCACATTGATTGTTCGTTTTTCATCTGAAAAAGCCAGATGCAGTCTGCCCAGGGCAGTAGCCATCGTCAAACAATGCCTTGCAATATCTTGGTATGTTCCATCTTTTAAGTTTTTGGTTTGTTCTTTCAGAACAATCAAAAGCAAAGAAATGCTTCAGTTGCTGTCAGGGAAGAATGGAAAGTGCTTGAGGACATGGATTTCCCCAGGCTGGCTAAACTTAAGCTGCCAGATATTCAAGATCCTACTGACTTGTAAGTTTTCAAGTTTAGTCTCTTTGCACAAGATATTTAGCGCTAAGTCCAATAAAAGAAGTAGAATGAGTTTGAAGCAGCAATCTTACTTCTCCCTGACATTGATTGTTATGTTTTCTCTTAGAAGATAGTTAAACAGTCAAGAAGTTGATTGCAATCTAGTTTGTTTCTGTTTATTTTTTGCATATCTCATAACTATCACAAAGATTCCATAAATTTGGTTTATTCGCATCTGCCTTTTTAGCACAGGGGTGTCTAACTTAGTTTTTGGGTGGGCTGTTGAAAAAATCTTACTGCACACACAGGTCAGATGGAAAGTTATGTGAATAATCAGCAATTATTGTGTTAAACAGTAAATGGATTAATATTTGCAGTTAGATGAAAACTTACATGAAAAGTTACACAAACAGTTACATGAAAAAGTTATTAATAATGTTAAATGTTACATTTCTTGTTTGCAGAATATTTATTGACACGTCACATTCAACTTTTAGTTGATGTGCGAAGAAAGTCATTTGAATGTGTTTCTGTATGCAGAAATTGTAGCTTTAACTTGTACTGTTCAGCTTTGTAGTAGAAACGTCTGCCTATAATAATGAGAAAGCATGCCTAATAATCAGACTGTATGCCTAATAATGAAAAGTATGCCTTTTAATGAATGATGAAAATTTAGCAGGGATAGCACTCCATTAACATAGCAAAAATTGTTAAAAAATTTATTGACTTAGCATGGGCCACAGAATATGCCCTTCTAGGTCTAATCTGGTCCACTGACCGTATATTGGGCGGCTACACGGACATTTTAGCACCTACACTGGTGTAATGCACGGACATTTTAGCACCTACACTGGTGTAATGCAAGGAGAAAGGCTTTCTCATTTGTAACTTCAATGGTTATTTTTCATTGTTAACTCAAGGCACCTAAAGTAGGTAATCCTTTCTGCTGTAATGTACTCGAGTCTTGGAAAGGACAACCATTTGATCAGTTTTTCAAAAATGAAGATTAGGTGCTTTTTTGAGTGGCCAGATCGACTCCTTTTCTTACAGAAACTAAGGACGTCTTTGCTTATTTGCTCCTAATCGTTGTGCTTAACGTCTCCCCAAAACTTCATGCTTTTTCCTTGGGTGTAGTTAAGTGCGGGAATCCATGATACTTTACGTCTAAGCATACAAGGGACATGTTTAATTTCAACGGTACTATCAATGACTGAGTTGTAGAATTTACTGCCTTGGTACGTGGATTAAAATCAACTGATTGAAAAAGCAACTTATTGTATCTTCAAACTAACAATTTGATTTGTGTTATTCTTGAGTTTATATGTAATTTTTTCAGGTACAATGCTGGAGCCGTAGATTATTATGATAAGTCATATGATAGGATAACTACTCGAAATGAGATCCCATTAGAAGTAAACAACAAAATTTTCCACAAAGTCACTACCACAGATGACCCTGTAATAAGAAAGGTGGGTGATTGTTAATTTGTATGTCGCACAAAATGGCTTAGATTGCTTTAGAAAGGCAACCATTATGTACTCCTCACAACATTCTTTATACATTTGCTTAATTGTTCATCTAGTCAAAGATACATCTGTAACAAGAAGAGCAAAGCTGGTTTTTTTTGTCATACATGAAATAAGACCAAGTCTGGTCCGAGTTGGCTACTGAAAATATTGCTTTAAATCTTTCAGTGGCTAATTTGAGGTGATTTATTTGCAAAGGTCGTGTAAACGAACGCCTTTGAAAGTCTGTTGAAGTTCAATATATAGCCATAACTGTTTAAGGAATTACAAATTTGTTTTTCATTGAAAATTGATTTGGTTTGGAAGATATTTTTAACGTTAGGTTATTCACTTGTATATAGTTGGCAAGCAAAGGCAATGTTTTTGGAACAGACACAATTATCAGTACGCTGATGACGTGTACAAGATCTGTCAATCCATGGGATGTCATAGTGCAGGTGAGCATATCCAGCATACTTTTACGCTTAATCATACAATCAGAAAGGTGTATGTAGCATTGCGTCATGGCCAAACATGGCTGCATGCCATGAAGTATGCGAAGAGAAATTTTTTATTTTGATAATGCAGAAGTCACTTGGCCAAAGATATTGTCTGCTAGGAGAGACAAATTTATTTGCTCATCATTGCTAAACATTTATTGTTGATGCATTGGAAAACGTAGTGCATACTGCAGCGTATTCTAACGAGAGGGTCTGCCGCTAGCACACTCGTAACGTCCAATGATTTAGAGGCAACTAGCGTTTAAATTTGGATCCGGATTGTAGAACTCACTCAACTCACATAAATAGCCGAAGCAAACAGCATGGTGTGATTCACGGGTCAGACAGAACAAACATTTATCGACTCTGTTTTCAACAGAAATGTCAATTGGCATAGCCAGACTATTGTACGCTCTTCAATAGGGATTAAAGGGGAATAGAAATGAATCTAGTAAATGAAAATTAATCAGATATAACATGGTTTTCCGAAATACGTGGTCTTTGCCCTCTGTAACGGTATTGATGGTATGCTTTTTGATCTCGTGGGTCACATGAGGCTGTATCATGGGCCAGTTGTATCCTGAGACCTAGTTCGTTCTGTTACCCTTTGATATGGATCCTTCTGCTCAATTGCTCTTTATATAGTTCGGCATTCATGTAAATGATTTTAGAGTCATAATACACACACTGATACATTTACTGGGAGTGAGTATTTCCCCTGCTCAAATAACTAGATAACTAATAGATAAGCATCAGTAGAGGTTTTTATTTTTCGTGTCTTTAAATCCTTTCTATAATAAATCCTTTCTATAATTCTTATTAATTCCAAATGAGTCAAATACCCTGAAACTCTTCATAATTGCTCCAAGAAATGAATGTTTTATAAATTCCCTCAGTGGTGTTCAACTGCTTAGCAATAACTTCAATAACGAGATTGCATTCTGGTTTTTTAGAGAGTTGGGAATAAATTGTTCTTTGATAAAAGAGATGATTCAGAGTTCGGTAAGTGTTCAAGAATTTTTTTTACGAGGATATAAGTTTCCAATTGTAACTTTCGAAAATTTAAAAGGAATATAAAATTGTACTATGCCGTTGTGATGTTATCACACTGCTCATGCAGAGCTCCCGCTAATAGCAATGATTAAAAGAGCAATGTAAGGGATAATCTGCAATATTAGGCCATTAAACCATTTTGATGTTGCCATCAGATCTGAACTGTATGCTGAACAGTGGATTTATACATTCACAAACGTATTGAACAGGATACATCCAGTGTGAAGTATTGATAGGAGATGGCAGTCAGTATCTTTGACTCATTTTGTCTTTTTATAATGAGTTCCAGTTACTTGTTTGTATTTCTTGTAACGCAATAGGTTAGTCATTCAACAGTCAATCACACTTGACGGACTACTGAAAACCCTTAATGCCATCTTTTACCAACTTAACTACTAACCAAGCGCCCTGAGCTAAAACAATCACCCTCACGTTACGCCATTTGCCATTTATGTATGCCATTTGCTTTGATTCCCTAGACTTTCTATTTAGTCACAGCGTTGAGTTTTGTTGCAGATCTGTTGACTGTCAACGAGACAGCCTGGGACCCGCTGGCAGAAGAAGGACTTAATTCGGCCAGTAACCTGGCTCTAGAGGCCACCTTTATAAATCAGAATTTTTCACAGCAGTGCCTGAGAAAAGGCGAGAAGTTGTCATTTGACCACCCTAATCCTTTTGTGGAAGACGAGCAAGAGCCCGTTGCATCTGTTGCTTATAGGTATGGCATTCCCTTATACACGATCAAGAAATATCATTTTCAGTGTTGTTATTAAGTCAATATCATCATTGACTGAGCACCCATGCGTTTTTGATAATACGGTGAAGAATGTTCTTTTTGCAGCGCATTTTTGCTCTTGATTCGTCATAGTCATGTTTGCCTCCTTTGAAATCGCTGGTAATGCAATTTCGAATTGTTTCAACTATTCGGGTTTTTTGAGGTCAAATTGGGCTTTGAGACCTGTTCTTTCTCTGTTTTTTTTTGTAGTCAATGTATGTCTTCGCCACCTTCTATTCGCTTTGACATCCTTGATTTCCTACATTTGAGGTTCCTTTATTTTTTTACTTGCTTTTTATTTTCCAGCTCCCTCATTTTTGTGAAAACTTGGGTAACCGTTTCCGTTTTTAAACCGCATTAAATTTCCTCCAGACAGTTATGTCAGTTGTTGGAGAAGCTATTTGGGACACTTTTCAATACCATCATCCGCGCGTGAAACAGTTTAGAATCGCGAAGTCTTAGAAGTTGTAAACATCCGGCGCGTTTGCCGCATGCGCAGTTCAACGCACCCTCTCGATGTAAGGAATGTGATATCAGCATTCCTTACGAACGCAATTTTCCGCATTACGCAACATTGATTAGAATTACGCATCTATTTGTAAATGACCCAAAGGAATGTTGTGCTAAATCTCGTTAACTATAAGATAGAACAGGTGCATAGGATTATGCGGTTTTTCGTGGCCCCTCCCATACTTAAGTCGCTTAATCCGCTTGGTACCTAGATTAGTGTGTAAATAAGCGAACAAACGAATCGCGGTAAATCTCGCCATAGGTAGCACTGTTCTTACCAGCCCGTCTTTCTGATGTTCTTATACCGCAACATTGTATCGCCTTCCTGTTATACTTTGCTGCAACTCAAGATATTCTTTGCTATGGTTATCAAGCTATTTGGAAACAAAACATTGTCTGATTCATTACAATGAAAAACATCCATATTTATCAAATCATTTGATGCGAGCAATTTAAGCCAAAGATGCAAACTTGCCAAGTAGCTTTTCAATTGTCACTTTTTTTGTTTTTTCTGTGTTAATTTTCCCCTTACAAAGAGCGATCCCGAAGGCCGATGAAGTACCAAATAAAGGGTCCTATAAGTTTTTTCTGCCTCCCTGTCACCTGTAGCCAGCAAACTAATTCCTGTCATCTTTACATCTTTTAGACAACCCAGATTGTGCAAAACTCTATAATGACGACATGTTTCGGATAATTGGCAGAGCCCGGTCGTCCTTTCATCTAGCAGTTTTGGAGTCAATCTACATAAAAACGAAAAAGCCGCCATTGTGTAGACAAAAGGAGTTCGTTTTCTCTCTTGGACTCCATTGGTAATTTTTCTTTAGGCTCGCGGCACTGATTGGTCAACTATACCGGTCTTGTGCTTGCGTTTTTCTGATTGGCCTATTTCGATCCACAACTGGGTATATATTTTTCAAGCGTGTTTTTTCGGAACCTATTCTGACGTTTTGTGCTCTGAGGAGTGTCAGACGAAAAAGCTTTAAGTATGTTGTAAAATGTTTGCTTTTTTCAAAGCCATTTTCTAATTCCTGTCACCGGGAACCCTTGAAATATATGGAAAATCAAATGATTAAGGAATTACAGTGTTCATATATATCAGTTACGGATTAGTCGTAAGGGATGTCTTTTTGGTCGGCTGTTGCCGTGTCGCAAAAGGAATCGAATCAGTTATAACCTAAACATTTCCATACTGAACAAAAGAGCTTAAGAAGTTACATTTTCTCTGCTGTTTTTGACATTCCGCCTTGTGATATCTGGAGCCTTGGATCACAGTGATGACCTGGGTCAGAAGTTGCTAAACGTAGTTTCTAGGCCAAGCGAATGTTCTATTTGAACAGTGTGGATCCTATAGCGAATTTATTCTCAATAAAATTTAAGAAATTTACTTTCGTAAATGACAGTCAGTCATAACACAAGGTATCGTGGGCTTTGTGTCTTTCTATTTAATGTCGTGTGTATAGGCGTATCGTCTTTATGTATAGCCGTACTCTCTATTCCTGACACTCTCTCTCTTATATCAAAGTCAAGCAAAAAGTTGACCATGTATTTGTACTAGAATTTCACTGTCTACCCTAACATTAACAGTCAAACAACTGTAAGCCAGTCATGTTTTGCTTTCTCTGCTGTGTACGCTGCTTTTGGTTCAAACGTTTTATCAAGCCAGTGTCACTCGATAGGAGTTCACGGAAACTCTGAAAGCAGCCATCATGTTGGTCATAGATGCGCCATTTCTAGGAAGGATGAACCTTTTTTGCTATCGGGCATATTAGTTTTATTTAGGAAAAGAATTGTGCTCGCTGTTAAATTTCCATCGATTCTGACAGTTCACTTTTTACCCAGTATTTGATCGCAATTTGTGATGTTTACCAATAAAGACAAAAATTGTAAAATTATTACCAAAAGATTAGATTTTCAGTCAATCTCGATCTGCTGATTTTGTACAGTCTATGCTGCGTTGAATCATTGCCCTTTCATCTTTAAAAGTTTAAAATCATGTCTTATTTTTCTGTTTTAAATACTCATAAGCTTTAGTACCACAGAATGAATGAGTAAGTTCTTCGTCTCTTTTGGCTGTTCAACAACAAAGTTTCCCTATTGTATTTCTATCATCATATGATACATGTTGCTTTAATTTCCGGTTCTATTTTATGGAGTATCCAAAAGCATTTCGGATTTAAGTGAATTTGTCACCAAGTGAAAGCTATGTATTCCGAGTAGTTTCTTTGCTTATTTGTAACCTGCCGTTGTAGGTATCAAAAAGCGTATGATACCTAAATATGCTTATTGACTCCAAGTATGCTTGATGACAGTCTCTGGGTTTCAGATCGTCCTGATAACAGTCTAAAAACTGAATTTCTTTTGGTTTCTGAGGAAAGGTTTTAAACCTGTCTTTGCTTCAACTTAAGTTTCGACAGCAGACGAAGGCCTGTCTTGCTGTTGATTGCTTGGCACCAATTTGTATAGGTTGCTCGACCAATGAAGCCAGGGGTCTCATTGTCACATAAAATAGCATCTGTTTCTAATTTGGTACCTCGGCCTCCAAAGTTGGCCTTTTAGTCTCTAGGAATCATAAGTACCTATGTAAGACAATCAAATTTAGTACAGGTAGATTTATTTCGCCAGCCTTAACCGACTCTCTCTCAAACACTTTTATTTATAAGACTTTCATTGCTTTTGTTTAGATACCGGAAATTTGAGCTTGGAGATGGCATCAATTTGATCGTCCGTTGCGAACACGATTCCGTGCTGCAGGGGCCGTCTGGGGAAAACCTCTTCGTAAATATTAAAACCCTAAACGAATGGGACTCAAAGGCAAGTATTTTGTGCGTTATCGTGTTATTGGCTTTTAAATGCTTCATTCTTGTCTACCTTTGATTTATTGTAACTTGTTGTTTTAAGTCATTGGTTTCGTTTACATGTTAAATATATCTTTTAGGCTAGTGGAATCGCTTGGAGGGCGAAGCTCGATTCCCAAGGAGGGTCTGTTTTAGCCACAGAATTGAAAAACAACAGCTGTAAGCTTGCTAAATGGACCTGCTCTGCAATTTTGGCTGGCTCAGAGTATCTCAAATTAGGGTAAGTTTTAAGCAATTCTCCTACCGAATTATCTCAAAAGTTGTCCCATTATAATAAGTTCCAAAGTCTATGAAGGAAGCGTGTTGTTTTTATTTTATTAATGCTAGGTCTAGGTAATTGCACTTTTGCTCAGTACATTTAGCCAATAAAGAGTTTAAATGTGTAGGTTTGTAAGATGACGCACTTAAAGAGCATTCGAAATACATTATTACAAAGGTGTTTTGCGTAAATTATTTTTACTAAACAGTAACAGATGACAGTCAGTTGATGACAATTTATTATTTTGCACTTCACAGGTACGTTTCAAGAATAACTGCTGTAGATTCTTCAAAACATGTCATTTTGGGAACACAGCAATTTAAGCCCAAGGAATTTGCTGACCAAATTGCGCTCAACATGGACAATGGCTGGGGTATTCTCCGTGTCATCATTGACACGTGCATGAAACTGCCTGAAGGGAAATACCTAATTCTGAGAGACCCTAATAAGGTTAGTACGTTTTTGTAAATTCATTTAAATTCTTGTCCAAAGAGGATCAGCTCAATCAAAATGATTTGAACTAGCCCAGAAGTAGGTGGAACGTGAATTGAAGCATTCAAATTGGCTATTTGTTGAATGCAATGATCTATGTAACTGTCTTTGTAGTAGGCGGTGAACTGGTCAGCTTAAGCGTCTGTATCCCTCTTGTGCTCTTATTGAGCCATACAATGAAAGAGATCTTTGTTGTGCAGTGAACAAATACTGTTAAATCAACTGCCCTCTTCCTACTGAAACTGTGTAAGGCCTGGCAATAGAAAGTAAGGATTACCATGTCTTCAGATAAAAAGCTGATAATCCTATTAAGTGCAAGAGACTGTTTATTTCATTTGTATAATGTAATGGTTAATCTTTCGTTGCGTGAAGAAAAGATTTTTCTTTTATTTTTCACAACTTCCCTTGGAGTGCATCTGCAGTTAAATGATTTTCTTTGGCCTTGTTTGGTTTGAAGAGAGAACAACAGAATTTTTTACGCTCCATTCTCCCCCTTGATAGGTTTTTTGGATTTAAAGAAAAATACGACAGATTTTGCTTCTGGGTCAGTGACCTAGTATAAAGTCTTATAAGGTGTTATTTTAACGATTGCGTTATGAGTTCGTGGTGAATGTTTTTTTTTTAAGATTTTTTTTCAAAAAAGTCAATGGCTATGCAATTGCTCTGATTGCAAGTAGATATAATGCGTGAGATGAATTCCAAAAAAAACTAATCTATTGTTATTATAGTCATATAGTAAATAGGGAACACCGCAACGCGCCGAGAACAAACAGCAATAAATATTATCCTATAATCATTATACTATTGATATTGCCCTAATTCTTTATGGCAATTCTTTATAAAGCACCAGGAAGAGAAAAGATGGATTTGAAGCAAAATACAGTCATAATTTATTAATGTTTTGTGTTTTTAATTTAGTTAAGGTTTTTGGAATTTCAAATTTTACAATGGGGTTTTACGTTTTGTTTATTTGCTTTATTATTTCAGTTAAATTTATTGAAAGGACGACACATCTTGATAGCAATTTATTAATTAATTCCAACTAGCGATAATCTTAGTTCACATTCCGGAGCCACTATGTGTATTATTTTTAAAAAAATCAAGACAGCCTTCTGCGATTATTCTTCTACTTATGTTGCCAACTTTTGTCTCGAATTCGATAACGTTTCGTTCAGATGCTGAAAACTTATATGGATGTAAGAACGTCATATCATAGTTATACTCTTTCCAAGCTTTTACCGTCCTGTATTTCCATGAGGAACTCCAGCCATACTTTTTCTGCAAGTACAGACCGTTCATTGGAATTATATTCGATTTTGAGTCGAGAAAGTACAATGCCATTGGAACTGCAATTTCTAGAAACAGTCTGTTATCGTAAAAGTACTGTGCGATTTTTGTGAAACGTTCGGCGTGCGCTGCCGGTACGTAAAATATGTCTGACAGCGCTGCAAGGCAAACCTTCTGTCGTCCTGTGTTTTCAAGGAATATTTCAAACATGTTAGTGGTATTAAATGCTGCATTCTTTTCCATTGACTTGTAAAGTCTTTCACAGAGATGCCCCCTTGCGTACCTCGAAAACCACTCGTCCGGTTGAGAACCCATTACAAAACAATCCTCTGGTTTTGGTTTCGTGTCACCAAACCAGATTTTCTTTTTATCGAGCTGCAAGAGGTTCCACCAGTTGATAATCATGTCATCGTTGATAAGGAGGTAACCTTCAAAACCGGGCTGTCTCTTTATCCCCTCGACAAGGCACTGATACCCGTAAAAACCATACTCTTCTTTCCGTTGATCGATCTTTATGACGTCAATGCCCCCTTCGGAATGCTCCTCCGGGCCACAGAAAATAATATTTGGAAATATCGGTTCCAGGTATCTTCGAAGAATTTTAATGTTAGAATAAAAAGGGTGGTTGAAATTGACTGATAGCAGAATGTCTGCAAATAAGCCTGACTTTTTGGGTTCGATTGGAGTCTTGCAACCTTTTTCTGGTAGATTGTAAACTTTCTTGTTCTTTGGTTGAGTGTAGGAGGGATTCTTCTTTATTGACACTAAAAAGAAATTAACACCTAGACGTAGTAATCAATGGCAACCACGGGTTAACAAAATATGGTTACATAGAGAGTGGTAGCCAGACATTTTGAATTGTATGCTGTGTCCTAATGCATGGTAATACAATTACATCACTTTTAAGGTTTGCAATGTCCCCCGATGAAAATACTTTTTTGTGAACATGAGACCTATAACCTTTCTCTACTTGCAGTTATAAATACTTTTACCTATCTTTTTACATACATTAACGTACACAATTGTCGGATTAACTAACTTTTTAGATTCTTCTAAACACGTCAAGCCGTATCAGGTATACTCTGTCATACGATTGTTGCTGTTGGAAATGATTAACATTTTTACAAATGACATGCCACAAAATACACAAGGCTAAATATTTTTTTTGCAAAATTTTCTTCTTTAGACTCTTTGCTCGATTTTATTCGATTAAACGAAATATCAGAGCATATCGTTTTTGCAAAAATACCCGAAAAAGCTTCTCTGAAGGCGCATACTGCTTCAGACTTCAACGTGAGAGTTGAAATTGACTTGAAGCATTTTACTTTTGCCCTTGGGAGCAGGAAGGTGCCAAAGCAGATGATTATGTACCATTATCAATTGATGACTGTTGCATTTTGTTTTGGGCGCTGTCTTGGTGACAAAGTAGACTCTCAGAGTTATTTTGGATTTCTTCTCCCCCTATTAATCTTGTATTAAAATCTTATCCTTTATTTTCATGATTTTCTTCCTCTTTTAAATACTGCAAACCAACCAGAAATTGTTGCTATAGATAAGGGAATTGTGTCTAGAAGTCCACACAGGTTAGGCGTCGCATCTGTCTTGCTTCAACCTTGAAATAGCAATCGAAAGTCATAGTAATACAGTACACGAAAGTTTCATCTTTATTACATCTTAGCAAATAAAGAACAGCTGATATCAAAAGCCTACACAACGCTTTCACACGGATGGAATCAATGAAATTTTCATAATAATGGCGAGAAATATGTATTGCTATCCACTGAAATGATTCAGGTTCACAACTGCCATAATTGCTAAATAATTTGAAAGTGACCCAAGTATATAGTTTTTCTGTTTAGCTTTTTCTGCTTTCTTAGAAAACTAGGCGGGTGACATTTATTAACCAGCGTTCAATTCACCGAGCACATTGATGTTCTTACGTGAATAGGAATGGAATACGCGACCGAGGTCACACATTGTGCTTGGTAATAAATGCTGTTTCTGTACTTGTGGTATCTTTGTTCATTGGGACGACATTTTGACAATGGCACCAGACTGTTTATAAGGGGCAATCTTCCATTATATCAAAGTTCAGCAGGTCCAACAAGATTCATTGAAGACTTTTCGGCTGTCGTGTTTCTAAACAGTCTAATTCACCTAGCTAGTTTTTTCCCATTATCATAAATTTTTGCTAGTTTACATTTAGCGTTGCTAATATTAAAGACTCCTTGTTTAAAGATGTGCAATATTTAGTTGTAACCAGATTTGTGTATTCAAATTTAGTTTTATAAAGAAGCAGGATTATACTATTTTATTTTTAAGTAATACAGCTTACAGCCTTTTCTGCTTCTCTTTGATTTTCACCTGAAACGCACTTACATGCTACAGTCCATTTAACAAATTGCACTTACCAGTTACAAAAAGAAGCAAAACAGCATTGGCGAAGACAAAAGACCAAATGAACCCGGTGCGATCTCTCATCATTAGTGTCAGTGCTTGAATTCAACCCTTCATGAAATCGTTATTGACGATTCGTTTGGTTTTTTGTATCCAAATAGTGGAATATTTTATTTGTATAAATTAATATATAATATATGCATAATGTGTTTATGTTGGTGCAAACCGTGTTGGATGTTGATTACTGATTCCCCTGCGTTACTTATATTCGTTGAATTTTGTTGAAATTGATTTAATTTTAAGTTAATCATGATCCACAGGTGAAAATTGCTGGTGGCTCTTTTAAGCCAACGCGCCAGTCCTTTGCAACCTTTCCGCGAACCGTGTTCTCAGCTCGCACTACCTGCGGTATCGCGTGTGATTTTTTTTGCGTTCGATGTTTCGCTCTCGTTGTTCATAGCACTCCTATGCCGGGGAAGCACTTCACGCAAACAATTTTTAGTCAAATACTTACGTATCTGCACATTTATATACCATAGAAGGCCCTTGAAAACATGTTTATCTTGATTAAACTTCGATTTATAGATTTTGCATAAAGTAGAAAATGTTTTGCTGACAACCCGTCCCTAACCTTTTTTTAATTCTCCCTTTCTAGGGTGTGATTCTTCTCTATGATATTCCTGATAATACTTTTGAAAGTGAAGAAGAATCAAGCGAGGAAGAATCAGAAGATGAAGGAGATGGTAACCTTGCTTTTTCACATTATTTTTATTTGTAAATTTTGCACTTCTAGCGTTTTTCTTTCAAGGTTGCCAAGGCCTCATCTCACAGACTCACAGACTTACTTTTCTCACGTATATCTTCCTGGTCCTTATTCTTCTTTCAAATCAAACCAAACCTCCGTGGTTGCTAAGCACATTCCATTCCACTACATTGATTATGACAATCACGTGCCCAGGCATGTTGCGCAAATGATTGTCAAACGCGTCAAATGCGTCATTTCAATATTATACACTATTATTGTTCATTGCTTCGATTGTTTATTCTTACGTTTAAAAGCCTGTTCTCTGTTTTTTTTCTGAATATTTTTAAATATGAAAAAACAAATGTTTAGGCATGGTCTAGTCTAGTTTGGTCTAGTGGACTGAATGGTCTAGTTTTAAGTCATTTGAGCACCCCCGATCTACTGAAATTCTCCTGCCCCCAACCCTGGACCCCAGTTCCATTGTTCACTAGCTGCGCTCATGAAATCGCACAGGTATTATTTTTCAAAACTTGGCAACCTTGTTCTTTATTCTCCGTGTTTTTTTGTTTTTTTTTTGGAAGGTACTTGTTAACAATATCAAGGAACTTTGGAATTATTTCATTTGATCCTTCTTTTTATATTCACATAAGTGTTGTTACACGCATTCATCCCACTATCCCTTTTCTGCCTTTTCTTTGGTAGGATGCACTTCAAGTAAAATAAAGGATTTTTCTCTCTCTCCACTCGAAATTTATTTTTCAAAGATTTACAAAACTTAGCTAATTTTTCAAAGCTGAGGATGATATTACCAGGCAATTTAAATGTTTTCATTGTTAACTTTTCCGTTCCGTTATAGCCATGCCTTTTAATTTTACCGAATTTTTTTCAGGAGATGATGAAGCTGATGAGAAAAAGAGAGAGAAATAGTTGAAATTGTGATCTAAGCTTAATCAATAAACGCAAATATGAGAGCAATTAGAAAGCAAAATGTTGTTGGTTTTTTTACTTTTCGGTCACTCATGGATTTTTCTGTTCGCTTTGAATATGCTTGAAAACCGCAAATAGTTTATTTGAAAGTCAGTTGTTTAGCTTTATTAGCGATGTGATCAAATACATCATTAACGACAGTTTCGATAAACTCGTGAAATATAGCAGGGGCTAGCCCAGATAGACTCACTTTGCGTAATTGAAGGAAAGGAGGAATGTTTTGCAGCGGCAGAAGAAACATAATCTTGAAAACTGGTATTTGTGTTAAATTATCGCTTAGTGGATCATAAAAAACATGCATGTGACCGATAGCTAAAATTTGAAAATTAATTAAACATCACTAGAGATCAAATACAAAAAACAATGCAAAATAAAACTGCGTTAATGTCTTCACCTAATAGAATGTATAAGTAGAGACACTTTTAGGGTACAAATGTACCTAATAGACAAACATGATGATAATGATGATGAGACTCTGGTTTAGTTTTCATTTAACTTAGGTTCGTGAAAAATAATTCGCCCAGTAATATGAAAAAAATAATTAATATATAATGCGGGATACTTGTACGGAAACTCGCCTAGACCAAGAATAACCAATTTAATCTGTTTTTCGGTCACAGAAGACATATCCCCAACACTACCCCTAACTTTAACCGTAGTCCTAACCTTAACCACAATCCTAACGGTTATCTTGACCGAGTCTTAGCCTCAATCATTAGCCTTAACCGCAAATTGTAGTCCTAGCCTTAACCGCAAATTGTAACCATAACCATTATCCTAACCGTAATCTTAACTGTAACCCCAACAAAAGCTGCCAGTGCCAGCCAGGTCAAGAACGAATATTTCCGCAATAAAACAATCTCTAGCAAAGATTCAACATAGGGCTGCAGTTACCGCGAAATTATAAATAAATGTCGCTCCAATTTTCTACCATACAAATTAAATTAGGACTACAAATTGACAATATAAAACGTTTTCATTTTAATATAACTAGCTAGATTTCTTGTGTACATAGATCAAGATAGGAAGGGTTGAATAACAAAAAGTACCTTGACATGAAAGATATGCGGTCATATTAACAAGTTGCATCAAAATCTCTACTGGAATGCTTCTGTAGTACCAAAATTTAATTGGGTTTCTTTTTTTGTTTTCTATTCACAGCAACCAGGCATCTTTATGAGTCGGAATAGAGACGCGAAAATACGTATAAGAATGAGTGGAATAAACAAGGAGCGGTTTATGATACCCAGAATATCAATAAACGAATGATAAGTGACAGCGTTGATTATTCTGTTTTACAGCTTAGTGTGCAGGCACATGGAAAAATAGAAAAGGAATGATGTTCCACCTACTAAAGAAGTTGTGTTATTTGTGTAAAACATGATACAATTAGGCAAATACTTCATATATCCGATAATTTAGAGAAGTAAAATCAAATACGCTAAAAACGCTATTTCTAGTTAAAATCTAAAATAATTACTACTAACTACTTGCTAAAAAATAATTTTTTATTGATTGCAAACTGTTATTATTGCTCTCTTGAAGAGCGTAGTGCAGCAAAGAGCTGTTGTCTGGTTCCTTAGACAAACATGATTTCAGCTGAACGTCGAACGCAACTTCCCATTTTGAAGTGCCCATTCACAAGTGCCTATCCAAAGTTACCCGTTTACAACTGCCTATCCAAAAGTGTCCATCTGCAGTATCCAAACAACGGGAAAGCTTTCGCAACAGATTCTCAAACGAGCTGGCAAGCTGAACTATGTAGGCATCAGTTCATCACTTTAGGCAGCTAGGGCTGACAGACAATACCTCAATGACACTCTCTCTACTTGGTATGCTTGTTCGAAGATAACAGTAAAGAATAATGCTGCGATTTGGCTTTTCATTTTTCTTTTAGCACGTTTATTGCCATACCTGTTTGCAAAAAAATCAATGTCATACTCGTACCTTTATTGATATTGCAAAAACAAGATTCGATGCAAATATTGAGCAAGATGTCGTGCATCGAAGAATTTATTTCCCTTTTCTACCACCCCTTACAAATCAGATATGACAAAAAAATGGTTGTTTGATTCAAAATAGTGGGCGGCTACAAACGGGGCACCAGACGTTCCACTCACAAGCGTGCAATAAAAGCTCCCTCAAAATTAAAAATCGTTGTCATTTTCTACGAGGGATTGAATTCTACTACACAATTTTACCTCTACTCCGTTCTCTTAGGCCAATTAAAGACTATCAGAACGAGGCATAATATAAATGTCTATTTAACCAGGCGAATTCGGCCTCACCTTGACCGTACTGTCCACAGCACCAGAGAAGAGTCGACCTCTCGACACGGCTAGTGACGTAACACTACCTTGATGCCGAATCAACGTCTGAACACAGTTCATGTTATCCAAACTCCAAACCTGCAAAACCAACGAAGATTAATCAAATATTGTCTGCAAGATGTTCACAAACTTGCAAAGATCATGCAGGTATACCAGCTAAAACATTGCCACGCGATTCAAGCACAGAAAGATCTCGAAACTATTCGATGGCTCCTCTTTTGTTAAAAATTTATCCCAGAACACAAATCAAACTTTTTCAAAGCGCAAAGAAACACTAAAGCTAATAGTATTTTGATGATCAGCAAACTTTGCAAATAAGACTTCCACAAAGGTGTTTTCGTCCAATTTAGGAATAAAGAGTTCGGCGGCATGTCGAGACAACGTTTACACATGCCTACAACCAGATGAAACTTTTAGAACATGCGCCAATACGTCAATTCAAAATTCAATGAAAATTTGCAAATCATTATCTGATTATCTACAGAGTTGAGAAAATAAAAAATACAGCCCGTACCCGAAGTGATCGATCGTACGAAGCGCTAATAATCTTTGTTGTATCCACCATTTGCATTACAACCAAATCGTAGACAGTTCCAACGTGGCCTGAAAACAAATAAAATGTTGATAAAACCAGGACTGGAGAGTTAGAAGTGTACATAACACATGATATGAAAGCTGGTGCAAAAATTTATGTAAATGAGGATTAAGCTTCAGGATTCATTAAATCGAGGTTTAAAAACTTGATATCCAATAATTAACACTCTTTCCCGACACTGCTAGGATCATTGAAGCTAATACACTTGCGAGTCGATAAAAAGAGAAAAGTGACACTTTAGGTTAATCAAAGCAAAGATTAAGCAAAGATATGCTTTTTCAACGAAACTTTGACAAGAGGAAAATTCTAAGAACTATTAATTTATTGAAAGAGCATGAGACATAAAGGCGATTTTTTTACGAAATGCCCGATGTGAATTACCTGATAAAGTGCCAATTTTCTTGTATGTGTTAACGTCCCATACCTTAACAAGCAAAAATGTTTAAGAAATTTGGTAATTAAGGTTCAGGTGCTTATCAGATTTGTAACTTTAACAACGCACGAGCAAATATTATGATTATATATAAAAATTATGTTAGATATACTCAATGTTTTTTAGGTAAAAAGACACTGCTGTGCCTTAAGAAAATACTTAGGGCTTGGAAATTTGAAAGAAGGTTGTGTAAAGGTAGAAAAACAGGGTAGGCTACCTGGAGTTATCTAGCATTAAATATTGTAAGGAAAGGCAGAAAATAAAAACATAGACACAATGCATACATGAATACAGTTCTCGTATGTTCCGCATGCAATGTGTTGCCGGGTAACTGCAATGGAGTAGACACTGCCGCCTGATGTCTCAAGGGACCTTATACATTCGAGAGTTTGCAGATCCCATACCTGAAATCAAGATTATTCATAAATAACGCTAAGGCCGCTCTGATTGGGCTGCAGAATAAACTATGTAGCATAAAGCCTGAGCAAAAGCTGAGAAAAAGTACAACTGAACTTAGAGCAAAATGTCGATGTGACGTAGGTTTGGCGACTGCCTTAAGCAATACTCACGAGAATAGTTTGATATGATCCACTAAAAAGATACAAATCGTTGGTAAATAAAGCGCGGACCCAATGATTCAGACCAGTCAGTTCTTTGATCGTCTTCAGGGTCTGCAGATCCCACACCTAGAAACGATGTCAAAGACCTTTAAAAACCCCATATGTAAACAAGGTTTAATATATGATAGATATATGAAGGAACTAGATAGATAGAGTCCTGTCGTAATGAGTTTGTGCACTAGTCGAATCTTGATCTTTGAACTTCTCATATTAAAGTTTGAAGAAGAGGCGATAAAAGTCGAGGTTTGCCAAAAATAAGCGCGAAAACGATTTGCTGACGCCATTTCATTATTTTTTCACTGCCTAGCGTTGTTTGGTTGACATGCAATTTTTGCAAATATCTTGAAGTTTGGTTGCAGAATTTGAAAAGTGAGTTCCGTTCATTTTAAGACTGTATTTCCCAGGCAGAGTAAAATATCGTTTTATTTGTGGTCTTCTTTTTGATATAAATACAACTACAATTCTTCTGCCGCCACGTTAAGCGTTGAACATTAAGACTTTGAGAAAAAACTGGAAATTTATTCAATATTCTTTGAAACAAGGGATGTTTTTCAGAGCGCTTTTTGCTTTCCACACATCGCCATAGTGGTGCACCTCCGGAAATCCAACCATGGTCGCCTGTGAGGGTCTTAGAAACATTTTTGCCGGACTTAGGGAAGACTATCATCCGATTGAGCTGCAGCTCCCCTTCCCCAGCCTAATAGCTTGTTTCCTCTCTAAAGATCCCCTTTTACAGGATTGACAGTATTAGATGAACAGAATTATATGTAATTTTTTTTAAAAATAGTTAGCTATTCTATGCTGTTAATTAAATGGTTGCAAATAAACAAATTCTGACACCCATGGTCTTTATCGCGGCGCTGACGCACTTGATTTTGGCGCGTGCATCACTATAGCGACGAGCCTACATTTCTTCCGCACAGTGTTCTACTTGTTAATGTTGGTTTTACGGAAAACAAATTGAACGAATCTAAGAATAATTCAAAATGTCGTTTAGAGGACACATTGAATTGTCTTTTCGTAGTGTGTAGATCGTTTATATATTTTTGTTCAAACAAGATAACACGTATTTGCTTATAATGCACCAACTCATGGCGACAGGACTCTATATGAAGGTATCAGACTATTGAACTTTATACATTTTATATAGCAAATGATAGATAGTCTAATATAGCGAACTCAAATGTTTCTATAAAATATTGGCTGCAAATGTGGTAACGTAAGACATTCACAAAAAAAACCTGAGAATATGGTAAGATTTGGGATTACCTTAATGCTTTTGAGTGATCCACTAAACAGCATATTCTGTCCAACAGCCAACGTGCAAATTGGGTTCTCACCACCGGTGACATTTTCAATCAGTTCAAGCGACTCGAGGTCATAGGCCTACAGCATTTTGGAAAAGTTCTTGTAAATAGTTAAATAAGTTTAAAAAGCGAGTGATAAATTTATACACAAAGAATTTCAAATTCATGGTACGTATGAAGCTGTCTGTCGAAGTAAGGTTTCGTTAAAAGGGGTCGGATGTGTTAATAAGTTACGTTTAGTTGGGTCCTTTTTTATTAGAACTAACAACTCCGACAGACTTGTCAGGTTCTAATTCACTACACGGGTTGCCAGTGCTGCTCTGGTAGGTTGCATGTTTCACGTTATTTCAAAGATTGCAAGAAAATATGCTGAGACAATCGATGATGATAAATTAAAAGTACTAACCCCAATAGTACAGTCTGCTGATCCACTATACAACCTCCCTCTGCAATTAAATACAAAACATAACAGTCACAATAAAGGGTGAAAATATCGAGATTAAAGCTAACTATTTCGAAATGAATCACGGAGCCTACTGATTGCGAATGGAAACAGTAACAGCTTTTCTTGGAGCTTGTGCAAAAGACAAAATCGTATTGAGTATTGAACTTCATTATCAAGGAAGTTTACTGTATTTTCAATATCAATGTTGCACACGCATGAGAGTCTCCCATATAATAATCAGTACCTGTGTGCACACAAGGCTAAAATCATGCCAGTGTGGTCATTCAATGTTTTGATGCACTTGTAGTTTGATCTGGTATCCCAAACCTGAAAAGGAGAGTATTCAGCGTTAGACTTTTCAACGAGTATCAGAATCCTTAGCGCATGCACAAGATTCAATGGTAGCTCCCATCTTCCAGGCAGTTTAAAATTCGTGCAATCATTTAACTGGAAAGATTTTGAAAGCATTTCGCATACTAAAGCTTGTAACAATGAACAAGAACCCACCTTAATAGTGTTATCTGACGATCCACTAAACAGATAATAACCAAATACAGATAAACACCAAACTGGGCCCTGAAAAAATTGCGGATTGAAGCTCACAATTCGAAAATCAAATATACGTACCATCAGTAGATGCTACTGAAGATGGCAAAATAGAACAACAAGGCATGGTGGACAGACTTTTCAATACACCATGAAAGATTCTAAAACTCTAAAAGTGTGTATTAGAGATTTTAATATTCCTACTGAAAAAAATGTTAAGGTGTTGATTCAAGAGTTTAAGCAAGTTGGTTATATTCAATAAAATTATGAATGACCACAAAGGTTTAAACCTTGGAATAAAATAAGCAGCACTTAAAAACCTAAACAGGCTTGTTTCCCATATAAGATACTTTATAAGATAACACAATGTTAATTTTACCCGATGATAGGTGGTTGAGTCACTAGACTAGAAATCAAAGGCAAACGCTGAGACAGTAACCACGAACAAGACCAATCTACTTCAAACGTGTGCCAGTCACTATATTTAAACTATGCCAATTCATTCACATATAATCTTTTAATAAGAACAAAATTACTTTTGCCGAGGCTGGACGTTCTTATGCTTGGGCAATTTAAGGCTCAGAAGTTTGTTTTGGACAATTTAATGTTCATTAGTTCTAAACGTTTTTCTAATTTCAACATTACTGATTTTGCTACTATATTCTTTTGATTGTTTTTAAGACCATTATAGAACAGTTTCAAATGGCATTTTCAATAGCATAGCATATTTGCTAAAAATTCTGCTCTGTTTTAATAACACCAGAGAGACTTTCAACAACACATTATTTTCTTCTAATTTTTCCAACTGAAGCCAAGCATGTTCTTACGCTGTTCTTATTTTCAACGCAAACTGATCCTCAGTGCTCTTATAAAGTGTATTTTTATAAAGAAAAATGTGTAAAGTAAGGAATTTTACGATAGAGTTTGGTCAAAGAAAGGGCAGCTTGTACGACAATTTCCAAATAAACCAAATGACATACTTGATGACCAACAAAGGTGCCTTTGCATTTAAGTGTTGGCTGAACATCAAATGATCCGATATTGAAAACACGGGCATCCATGCTTGATAGTTCTTGCTGTAATAAAGAGCGGATGCTTACATAGAGAAACTTTAAGGCTTTATAGAAATATCTATACCTAACAGTGTGTTTATCAGTATATTATTTCGAGTCTTCATCAAACATAAAAGGTTGAACTCAGCTACCTTTCTCCACATGGGGCAGGGTGAGACTTATGTTTTAGAATTTGGCAAGTAGTTAGAATTTTTTAATTAACAAATCTAGCACTTTATAATCATCAATAAACCAAAACTACTGAACTACCTTATTTTTCAAAACAGAGGCCGTGTGCCTACTAGGAATATTGCACCACTTACTCTGCCCCCTGCACTGCTACTTCTCCCACTTTAATCTGGGTGGCTTGTCAAAAAGTTATGAATGACATATAAACCTTAAATATTAATGCTGCCCTTCGGAAAAGAAGGTCAACAGACGTGATACTAATTCGGAAACAACAAAGAACAAAAGATTCGAGCAGTTAGGGGTCCCGAGTAATTCTGAAAGGCACTGTAGATGCAACATTGAAATAGCATATCCAATGCTTACCTCAATATGATTGAGACTTCGACGTGCATCAAGGAGATCTGATGATAATTTTGTCTGCCCTTCATCAAGCAGGTCTATATCAAAGAAACAAAAACTGAGAGACAGAATTTTAACAATGGATTTCTATAATAGACATACATAGCTTTGACTAAGCATTATTCAATATTATCAAACATTTGAAATGGTGGAAACATATTATGGTTGGGCTTGGAAACATTTTATGGTTGGGCTTAGGTTTATTGCAGTGCACTATCTTGCAAGAAACGACTGGAAGAATGGATGACAATAATTTCCTATCCTAAAAACTTGTTGACGTATAACTTAAATTCAAATACATTTTTGTTCACTACGCAAATAAACTAATGATACAGACCCTGCATTAAATAATTTTGATTTTAGCAAAACCATTATGTCAAAAATATCTCATAAAAATATTAAATATAAGAATATAAAAAACATAAAAGTATTTTATTTCATGTTATCTTCCCATTAGAGCTACAAAGGTTGATATTTTTAGGACCACTTACCAACTCGTATTTCTACTGCCTTTTCCATGCGATCCATTCTTTCTGTTACTTTAGCAAGCATTGACTTCAAAAAACTTATTTCCTGGAAGACAAAATATCCATCTACATGCTCGTTGGTCGTTGAAGAAAGCGGCAGCAAAGGCCGACCTCGAAAGGAATTTTCGCCTAAAGTAGAATTCAAGGTATTTCAAAGGAGAGTCGGATGACAAAGCACGATGATATCAACAATCGTCGGAAAATCAACAATTTTTTCCGAGAGCTTGACGGCCTTTCAGCAATATTTCCTGAATTCACAAAACATTGCCCCTCTGGGCTAGAAATATTTTTCTAGAAGCCGAAGACATACACTCAGGAACCATAAGCCTCGTGGCATAGTTTCATTAATGGATGCTATTTGAGTCATTGAAAACTTGCTTTTAACAAACCTGGTCTTTCTCTTCTAGAAGGGTCAAAGTACGTTGCATACGCTCCTCAGTGTGTTGAAGAAAATCCTATAAAATCAATCAACTCTGGTAAATAACATCAGAAGATATAAAAAGTTATTTTGTTATAAAAAGTTATTAAAAATTTAAAAAAACAATGAATGTGTGACAAACAGCATCCTATCTGTAACCAATTTGGAGGCCTAAATGGGTGCTGCACACCCTTTGCAATTAAGAAAAAAATCTATCAAGTCTTCACCTCATTCCGTCGAAGTGCTTAATTGCCTCTTCATTCTTTATTAAGCTTTCATTGAAAGAGGAAACAAATAGAACTACTACAGTAATAGCAACCACATTAACAATTCTAGAAAGAAAAATCCCCTACTTTCTTCCCATTGTCCGAAAATGGTAATAAAGAATGTTTAGTGTATAATTGTCTCTTTAAACATCGCAAACCTTGAGTCCTTCAAATTTGCAATCTTTTAAATGAGAATCAACTTGTTCATCAGTTCCTTTGAATGGACAACTAGCAACACAAACATAAATTGAAAATTACATCACTGAAATCACTTAACTCGCTTCTTTAAACTCAACGAAAGTAGAAAGTTAATGGTGATGTAAAGTTGAGTTTATTATTCATATAATAAATTAATTAAAGAAAGGAAAAGAAAAAAATACTTGAATCTCGAATTTGGGCATCTCAGATGTTGGCATTGTGCAAGATGTTCTTCGAGGTCCTAAAACAGAACATCAAGCAAATCAGAGCTGTTGAATCAAGAAAAATATTGGTAGTAGCAGAACATGTAAGACAATTAAAATCATTGCATATAACAAGCGTGTATTTCAATATTAAAAATGTTGCTTGTAAAAAATTTGTGTATTTCAATATAAAAAATGTTGCTCATAAAAAATTTGTGCATTTCAATATTAAAATTGTTGCTTATAAAAAATTTGTGCATTTCAATATTAAAATTGTTGCTTATAAAAAAATGCGTGTAATTCAATATGAAAATCGTTGCTTATAAGAGATATGTAGATTTCAATAATAAAATTGTTGCTCTTAAAAATGTGGGTAAATCAATATTAACATCGTGGCTTACAAAAATGTGTTTATTTCGATTTAAAAAGTGGTTGAATATAAAATGAGTGTATTTCAAAATTGAAATCGCTGCTTGTAAAAGGTGCATGTACAATTAAGGAAACAGAAAATCGTTTAGGTATCAACTGAGGCCAGTGCGTACAATCACTATAAAGAGAAAATTTAATATCATTACAAAAACTAGAATCAATTCATGTTTGATATCACTCACCAGTTTTATCATAGTTGGACAAGTTGAACTGTTGGGACACCGAATAGGAGCATACTCACAAAGGGCCTCGTGTTCCCTGTTTAGAAAACAGATTCCAGTCAATGTTATTGAAAACGAACGCAAGAAGCTACAAATAATTCTAGCTAATTCTATCCATCTTTAGTAACAATAATATTATTATTTTTGAAGGCTTGAACAAAATCTATGCACGGGGCCTTGGGAACAAAACTTAAACGGGCACCTATCGCAGGTCCCCTCGAATACTAATTAACATGTTAAACAGAACAGTAAGCTGTAAAAATGATGATATTTTCTCGTTAACGTAGGGAAGCTGAGTTATATTTTCAGCTAAAGAACTTGAAATTTTTTTTTAAAAAAGGTAAATATACTGGGCCTTTCGATCAGTGGCCACTTTTGACCGGGGCCCCTTTTTGATTTGATTTTTACCGGGGCCCCAATATCAGCATACTATTTTCCAGAGGTAAAATGACTTTTTCTGCCAATTATGTTAAGGAGTAAAGCGCATAAATTGAAAAAGGGAACTCACGCTCTGGTCCCAAACTTAATTTCCATTGGACAACCTGTTAGAAAATATAAAAAAAACTGAACAATTCTGTCGCATTTGAAAAGTTCAGAATGATTTGGAAACAAGACAAATATGTAACATACACGTAATTCTATCGTCTTACATCTTATCGAAAAATGGGATTAAAACTCGTTTATGAACGCTAACAAAGTTCCAGCAATAATAAAATTTTTGGTTAAACGGATAACATATTTTGCACAATATGGGCACTGCTATTTCTCTTGCTGCCAAACCCATTTCTTGAGCCCGTCGGAGCAAAAGAAACCATCTTGTTGACAACAAAAATACGTTCATTTTATCTCCAACTCAAGCTCGTACATTTCAGTAAAACAACAGAACTTTAGTGGAATGACATTGCATTTTTCTGTTGGCACAATGTACACGTGTCTATAGAGCTCGAGAAGCCTCACTGAATTAGCAGAAATTTCCTTCAACTGTTGAGTTCTAAAAGAATGGCAATTACAAGAGGCAACACACAACTCTAAGAAAAAAGATTTCCACATACCATCAGGATGGATTTCATATTCACCAGGAACCCCGCTTGAGCATGGACGACAGCCATATTTGCAATGAATGTATAATTCATTTATTTGTTCGTCCACCTGACAAGGTACCAAAAACAACCAGTCTACTCTAAATGACACTTATTACATAGAAGTGTTTAATTAGACAACAAATTTTATTAGCAAGTAACACGGAAATTGAGTCATACATTAGAAGGCGAATAAACGACGCGGAATTGTTTGTGGTAATTTTAAAAAACAACATATTTTTCATAGCGCATTTTGGAAAGTTGTGGTAAATATTGATGGCTTCAATTAATTTCGGCAAAGCAGTGGGTTGTTTAGTATGATTAGCATGATGGGAATCGATGATTTAAAAGAACAATTTGAACTTCGTGAAGGTTTAAATCTATGCGACTTATGCGAGGGTCTATTTGAAATTTTTCAAAAGTTAAATTAGCAATACTACTCACGGCTAAATTTGCAACAACAGCTGTCAACTTGGCCCCATCGACAGGACACGGTTCTGCAAAACATATTTTTGGATGATAAAAAAGCAAATACACGCAAAAATGCCTACTTTTTCAGTTGTCAGATTATTTTTGGTTAAAAGGTACAGAAATACAAGGTGCTTAATAAAAGAAAGATAGCCTGCAGGATTGTATAATGGTCAAACAGAGGACGGGAATGCAGTGGGAAGGACTTGATGAGTGGCATTTCTTTGCAGATAAAAGTAGATAATTACTCTGCCTTTTAGCAAATGCATATGAAGGCAAATATCCTGAACAAATATTTACAATGTTAATATTTCAAATGAAATATTTCCAACTTTTTAAACATACCGTTGTTCTTTATTGAAACACAGATTCGGCAGAACGTATGCTGCAAGAAAAATTCTAAACTTTACTTGAAACGAGATTTTCTGATAACCCCTTAAATAAGATTAAATTCAGACAGAAAGATTAAAGAATTTACAGTTTCATGGGTTAAAATACAGTTATTCGAGAAGCATAATTAAAAGAATTAATTTGAAAATTTGCAAATGTATTGTAAATTTTTTGATAAAACCTTTTGTTGGTTGAGTGAGATCAGTCGGCCTGAATACCATTTTTCTGAGGCATTTATAACTGAGTTAGTTTTTTAGCTGATACATTTTTAGCGATGCATTTGCGATCCGCATCGTGCTTAAATATCCACAGTTCAAAATATTACTTGTCGTTTATACTTTGAAAACAATGTAGATTTTATGAATGACAGACGACTTACTCCACAAGATGCAATGATTGGTTCTTTAAAAACACTTCCACAGAGCATACAGAGGAGTTTCTTGGAGACCGGATGTACAAACAACGTTATTTCCTTCTGAAACATAAGAAATTCAAGCGTCAGTAGTAGCTAAACATTTTCTATAACGAACTGCTTTGAATTCAGAGTCATACAGCAGGCACGCCGGAGCCGAAGGGGGGGGGGGGGCTGTAGCCCCTTAAATTTTGCCATGATTTTTTATATTAAGGTTGTGGCATCAGAGATAATGGTGGCAAACAACCATAATAGCATACCAATTCGTGTAGAGCCCCCAACCAGCCACCCTCACTACAAAATTTGCCCCGGCGTCCCTGTACAGTAAAGCACTAATAAAACATAAGATTCTAAACCTCGTCACACTCGTCGCTTCCACTTCCATGGGACAGGGTCCTGGACCTTGCAGATTTTGTAGATACGTTCGACATTGTTCTTGCATGCCTTCCTTTCGGCTGTAGGAAAAAACACTCGCGTCATTAACTCTGACAACAAATTCAATGTCTTGTCTCTATAAAAGACTGGATCGAGCTTCTGCCGTTTCAGATTGAGGTCCGCGTGGGACCCATCGTGTGTGGGCCTACATAAGATTACAAATAACTATGTGCAAGATAAGTTATTGGATGTAAATTTAGGTTGAGAAACAGACCATAGAAATAGAAATTTGTAACTATAGAAATTTCCCAACGTTCAATGTGATCAAAGACGTTAATTGTCGTGCTGCACGTCCAATGGGCCTAACAGTCGGTGCGCTGTATGTGCTGCTTTACTGATAAGCTGGTCAATTGGAGATAGAGGTAGGTAGTTTAGTTTGTAAAAAGTACTTTTTGACATTGGGTACCCCGTTTAACATTCATGTCGGTTCCTTCCGGTGTTTGGCGGTGAACGGTGATCTCACGGTGCTAGAGCCTAATCAAATTTGGCGGGCCTCGGTTCTCATGTGGGTCAAACAATAAGAAGCTCGATCCAGTCTTTTATAGAGATCAGTGATCTTGTTCTGTTTCCAAAACAAAGAATTCTAATGAAATCTGTTATTCATACAGCTGGCCATTCAATATGTTAACATTATGATGTATTTCCTTATGGGCTGAGCTTTCTCTTCCTAGAAATGCTTTCAAGGGTGTCTTTGGAACAACGCAAGGGGGTCACATGAATCTATACTATTGCCGATATATATAATATATACTTTTTGACATTGGGTAGGGGCTAGGGGGTCACATGAATCTATACTATTGCTGATTACCAAAATAAATATTATACACTATTTATGTGGTATTTACAAATATTTGATTATTCTAATATTCACGGGAACATAAGGAAGTTAAAGAAAACTGTAAAAAAAGAATAAAAACTGGTTATTGACTCTCAGAATAAACTTTGTTCTAAAAATGTAATTTAAATATAACCAGTGGCAACTTCCAATGGTGGCACCAATGCGGGGTCCTCCACTCTGAATAAATTATGGTCACTAAATATGGTCTTTATTTATGACTAAAAAAATTGAACAACCTTTCCAAAAACAACATTCGCTTGAACACCCAAACACTGCAATGTTAGAATAAGGGTTGCTCTGCAATACAAAAGGATGTGCTCATAAAATACTTCCCATAATACGTTCCAGATGCCACTTTCAGTCCAGCTCGGTTTGAGCCCCCATCAAAGGTATCTTTTGTTAAACAACCTTATACAAAGAACTCTTCGATACTTGTCTTTTAATTTCCATCGCTTAAGAACGACTATTCGAACTCAAGCTAGTTTACTGAGAGAATGAAAGGGCCAAAATTTTCATTGGCTCTTGCAGTCCAAAACTTGATTAGGCATCCTTGAAAATTGTGTATATCGATTAATTGAATTCGAAGTCAAAACCTGCAAATTAAATGTCCTTAGATCATACCTGAAAAACTTCTTTTATTCTTGACATGCTTGAATATTCCTCTGCACATTTAGCCGGAAACAATACATTACAGACTATACGTATATGCACCAGGCTATTCTGAAGCAACAATTCAAGCAGAGCAGGCTCAGCTTAGAAATTCCAAACCACATGCGTAATTCAAATTCTAAAATTACAAGTTACTAAGGCCGTAAGAATGCTTCATGCCTTAACAAATTTAAATTACTGTGTGGGTTTTGAACTTCAGGAGCTTTTTCTTAAAAATAACATGACCCTTATCTAAATACTATTATCTAAGCCAATTTTTCGAAGGCTTTAAAACTTCGCCATTATTAATACTTGATGAAGACTAACCACAATTGATAACTGGTTTTCAACCAAAACAAGAGACATGTTTGTCTCCTTGCAGAACTGTGATTTCCCACAGCCTCCTGGAACCAAGTATGTTGATGTAAGGTTAAAATTGCAGTGGGAAAATGTGGTGATTTTCCGATAAAGACAGGCAACGCTGTCCTTTGCAAAAAGAGATAAAAATAAACAGTAAATTCTCTACAGCAGCGATAATTTGAAATCGAATCCCAAGTTCCGAAGTAATTCGGCACAGATGCACCGCGCTTGTTTAGAAACAGGAAGCACACCTACTAGCTAAATAGAGAAGAGTTTCTCCTAATTTTGTGATAATAACATCCCGTATATGAAACTTCAGTGACCTTTTTACTAAAACCTTTACGTGAAAGGATGTGGATTAACTAGAATTCGAGGAACTGTTTCCGTTTTTGCTTGAAAAAACATATTCTTGAAAAATGGTTTCTATGTAAACAGAAATTCCCAAAAAAGTTAAACATCTCTTTTATAAGAACCATTTTATAAGATCAAATTTTAAAAATTGGGCCAAAAAAAAGTTCACAAGCACTCAACTACTGTACCGACTACCCCCCCCCCCCTTCCACTCTATTTGCGCGTTCTTCGATAAATTGTGCTTCGAATCAGTAAAACGTATATTGTAGCAGACGGTAGTAACAAAGGTTGCTTTATTTATCAGCTTGTCTTCGCTATCTTAAATTTAAAAACTGAATTCTAAAAAAGGCCGTTTAAAAATGAATGTTAAAACTTTAAAAACATCGCACAGAAAACGTAAGTGACCTTGCATTTGCCCCACTTATCAAAAAGAGAGTGTTTATTCTTTGCAATAAAACGATAGCTGCGATGTCAATACCGCAAATCCTCGAGTTGGCCCCCCTTCCAAAAAGCCTCCCCCCCCTCGAACAAGCCCCCACTGCTACCATAAACCTTCGAATTGGCTCCCCTCAATTTGATGATTTTTGCCATTTGAAGTTGCCTTTGGCGTTTTATTGAATTTTTTTCAAGACTTCATACTTTTGGTAGTAATTAATTAAATGCTCATATAAGCCTCGTATAAGCCCCCCTCTCGATTAAGCCCCAAATTAGCTCGAATAAGCCCCCACCCGAAAATATCAAAGTAAACAAGCCGGTATCCAGGAATCTCGGAACGCGGCAGGGGTAATTCAAAATGATGGCAGCTTCTATTTACTATATCGTAGCTAATATTTTCATCTCGATATGCTCATAGTTTATTTTCAAATGGCATAGAAGGCGCCTGCTCCCCTGCCCCCTCTTGCATCCTAGTAACCATTCCGAAGATTGAACATTGAAGAACCCATAGATATGATGGAACCACGTTTTCAGAATGACTTACCAACGTGTTTGACTTGGAACTAAAGGCAATGGCATTCTTGTAACTGTTGCTTGGGCTGCCAGTTTCACTGCTGGCATTTGCTCCAAAGTATTCGTTGCCAAAGCTGCCAGTGTACGAACACGTGCAAGCATTGTTGTTAGATGAATCACTCATGCATACTTCCTGCTCCCGTTTCATGTCAGGCATCGAGGCATTCTTAAACCCTCCTCAAAACAGAATACCAAATAACTATTTACAATAAAATTAGCACTATTTGTGCCATGTTATTATCAAGTCACCAAAAAGTTTATATGCATGGGCCTAAGAGCTCAGATCTATAAACTTTTTCAAAATGTAGTTATCATCTGTTTCTTAGTAACAAGATGCCCAGGCAGAATCAAACAAAACAGAATAAGAATTCAGAAAATTCGAAAGGAGCCAAAAACATTTACAAAATTAGCTTGAAAGCAAATTTCTATAATTTTCTGGGAAATGAATGATACAACTGCCCATAATGCATTTTGTGAGTTTGTAAAGCAAAGAATAAAGAGCAGCTTTCTGATTTTAGTGGCTAAATGTTTCCCGGATGACCAATCAATAGTGACTCTTGCAAGGAAAGCATGCTTTCATTTTCAAAAAGTAAATTTTCAAAATCAACTAGGGATAACATTAATGATATAAACAGCTGAATCCCATGAAGAAATACTTCTGGTACAACTGGGACTTTTGCTAATAAAGAATGTTTTCATTTTCATTGGATTCTCCTACTTTATTTGAGTGAAAAGTCTTACCCCAAGGTAGGTCAGACATTCTCGATTCTGGTCTTTTTCCAACCCCCAGGCAACTCCTCTCCCCCTTGAAAGTACCATTTAACGGGATTCAACTGTATTATATTTATTTCTTGCAGTTATTACACTGACATTATAAACATGGTATATACCTTTCTTGACAGTCGTGATGGAAGCTGACCCTATTCCGAAAGTTGTTTCCATTTTAGATCTGCCAAAAAGTAGAAGGACTGATACAGATGGGGAGACGAAATGAAAGAATCTACTTGGTAGTGGGTTAAAAACATCCTTTTCAATTGACAAGAAATAGCATTTGGTGGGAAACATTTACAAAAAAATCATGAAGTAATGACATGTTATTTCTGCAATTCAATCTTGAATTTTTCATCAAAACAAATGAGAAAACCCATTTAATCCCCAAATCTAAGACAGGATATAAAAGCTGATGTTTTAGGAAAATTTGTGGCCTAAAACCAAAACCAAGAAGGAATATTCATTGACAAATTTCCTTTGAACTGTAATAATGTTTTTGTCAGGGCAAACTTAAAAAGGCCTTCCAATTTGACAACCATCAACTGACATCTTCACTGCATGGCAACACTCTAAGAGAACATTTCAAGTACAGTAGCACAAACAAGCCCCACCCAGCATTAGTAATTAAACGTTTAGCACCTTCTACGCATTACTCAAGTATTTTCACTTCTACAGTGAGCTTCATCTACATTTACATTTATACAGTGCCGTCTTTGTTTTGCTAAAGTTTTGACTCCATAACTCTCGTTAAAATAATAAATACTTCCATTCAATAGCTACTACACTATAACTTCCAATAAAAAAAATTAAAAATTGAGAATACACTGTAATCATCACTAATCTACTCAAAGGAGTAGCTGCATATAGCTTGGTTATCTAAAACCATCCATTTATTGATTGCAGATATACCAATAAGAATAACAAGTTTATATCTCAACTTTTAAAGCTGTCAAGATCTGCAGAGGTAGCAACTTTGACAAAGCTACAGTAATAAAAACATCCTCTTGAACTTTGAGCTGACCCCCAGATCTCAGCTAAAAATGATAAAATCTATGTCAGTTTTAGAGCTAGTTTTATACCTGCAAAACTGCATGGACCTAGAGCTAGACCCTTGAGTGCAAGCACAAAAATTGTTATAGTGAGCTTGTTTTCATCTGTATATAGAGTCGCTAAATTTTCAATGCAAAAAACAAATCATGTAAAGCTGGTATTTTGTTGGCTATCTTCAGCAATTTCAGCCAAGCATTACAGAGGAAATCAGAACACAATAGTGAAATATCACAACCTATTTCACTATTGCCTCATAGGTCTTACTTCATAATAGCTACTGAAATTTTCCTCCACTTTATAACAGCAAACAATAAAACTTGAAGATAACTAGAGAAAAATTTAAACTGCAAAGCTAAAAAAACACCGCCTTACATTGATATGGCCTTACATTGCTTGATAAGCATATAGGTTGCTCATGTGTTAAGCTTTTACTTGTTGAAAATACTGAAAAAACTGGAGAAACAACCCAGTGCATGAGAGAACCAATTTGATTCATGGTAGTTGTTTTGTTTGCAATTATGTTTTACAAAGTCAGCAGCTAATGTCTCAAAATGCGTTATTAGACCAAAGAGGATGATACATGTGAGTAAAATACAATGGCTTTAATTCCTGTTTTTTATGATGAATACGCCACATTCATGTAAAAACAAAGTAAAAGTCAATTTGCATTATTAGAAATGTCATCCTTATAGCAGAGATGTTAGCATCTACCAAAGTTAACACCGTACTCCCCTGAGATCAAGACATCAAAACACTATGTTTATAGGAAATTCAATTTCAATCCAAATACTTTACAGAGGTAAGAAAAGGGAGCAAAACTCTATCTATTCAAAATTTTCAAGAAGAAAACTCTTTAGTGAATGAAATATTAGGAGTGGAAGCCAAGTTGCTATATGACAGCAGTTGATAAAATTCATGCAGTACACCACCAGAATTATGCTTGAATCACTTGGTTGTGCCACTTGATTGATTATAATATCTATAGCTTCAATTAACAAATTTCAGCAAAAATTTTAGATACTGCCAATAGACAAAATGGCTTTTGGAATACTGTTCTTGATCTCTAAGAAGGATTTCATTGGTTAGTTTAAGCCAAACTCTTATGAGAACAGCCTCTCAAAGTATTGTTGTGATCAACCAAGAGAATATTCTTCAAAATAACAACCAATATAACCCTCATTTTAGATTTAACTTCAACCACAATTAACAGATGCAAAATTAAATCTAAATTGACATCTGATTTGCCTTCAAAATTCAACAAATATAAAATTGTGGGTACAAATTGGTAGGCTTAAAACATTGATGAGTAGATTAGATTACAATATCAATATCATTTAAAATCAATTTTGTTGTGTGTTGTAATTCTTTAAAGTAGAACTGGTAGCAAAAACATGACTATTATATTCTAATCCACAATTCAATAAGTAAAACAAAGGTGATAATTATTGCTTCCATGTTGGGGGCGTGTTGAGTCAAAAGGAAAGTATAACCCCTATATGAAAGCTGACAAGCATTTATGCTGTACCAGCTTAAAAAATCTCAAGCAATATATGAAGAAACAAATTCATCGTTCCTAACTTTGCTACGACGTGACATGAACGAAGAGGCCCACCTTGAATTTATCGATAGTATTTATTTGGTGATTGCAAACAAAAGATTTCAATATCAAAATAGAATTTTTACTCAGTGGTTGCTCAAAGCATACATCCAGGTACCAAAGACTAACTTCGTGCATTTTTATGTAAGATAAACCAAAGCGGGCAGCAAAATCGCGGAGTCACTGAGATTATCAACGGCCTAGCAAGCCATTACATCACTGCACTTGAGACAACTTACGTACAATAATAATTCATAAACCGTTTGAAAATTTACTACACGTAGCAACACACTTACCTTTAACTTTAAACAGGTATTCACAATATACAAGACTTGGTATTACGCCTCATTGTGTTTACAATCATCAAATGCAAACATGCAGAATAACATTTTCCTCGTTCATGACGGTATGGCGTCGCGATCAACTTCTCTGCATGTGCATCGCAGCGTCTTGGTATTACGGCTGCGCATTTTCATGTCCTTCCTTGGTAACTAAATTTTCATTCTACCGAACTGTAAGTGTAATCATGCCATCCATTGTAAAATTTTCATCAACACCTTCCACTGTACCCGTGTCCATAGTAATTTAATCAACAACACCTCTGTAGCATCCCCTCGTTTTATGTGCATCCGCCCTGTAATGTAGTCAGT